TCTGCCTATCTTGTACCAGCTGGCTGTGTTCTCCCTCCTCATGTCCTTCCAGCTGGTGAGATAAGAGGCAGGAACGTGAAGCCTCACCCTCACTCACTCATTAGTCTGAGCCCTGGTACTGAGTCTGCTTAGCATCAAGTGACTTGTTTTTCTTCTGTCTGAGTCTGTGCTTACCTCCATAAATCACAAAAAGATCATAATCCTGACTTACTTGACAATGAACTTTTGCTTGGTTTCTTAACACAGCTGGACACATTAAATGCCTAAAAGTGGTTGGGAGGAATATTTCCAAAATACACATTTTCAAAGGCTGGAGGTGCAGTTCTCTGTAACATTGGTTTCAATCTGAGATCTTGTGTTTAGGAGCGTAGAAATCTCTTCTGCTCCTCCAAAATACTATACTGCAGATCACACTGATTCTTATCAAAGGCATGGACAGGGGTGGGCTATTAAAATCTGCTGAGATTAAAGAAGGGTTTCTTAGTGTTTTGTTCCACTGTTATTTTTATCTTTAACTCACCAGGGTGAGGAAATACTTACAGACCTGTTTGCCCAGGAGGAGGTAGATAAGTTTTAGCTTCAAATGCCTTCATGCAAGTGGTAAAATAGAGCAGTAATATACCTTTTTGAGCCTTTTAAAAGAGAAGGAGGGTTGCTTACATCATCTCCTGATATTCCTACCTTCAGAGAGAGGCATGGCTGTAGTTGGGGTCTCATGGTGTTACAAAGGTATGGGGAGAGAGAAAGCCCTTTGCTCCTGGCAGCGTGGGCTGAAATGGGTTTTAAATATGTTCTGAGGAGATGTGGAGGGAAACCTCAAAAGGCCTTTTTGTTCATAGCTGGATATTTGGGGGACAGTGTTTGATTTTGCTTGTCAGAACTTTATTTCTTGCTTTCTGTCTTTTGAGGAAGCTGAGCTTTACTTTGTATGTTGTAAACAATGCGAAAAGGAGCCAGAAGGCCATAGATGGATCCTCTGCCTTTTTTATAAATCTGCGTATATAGACTAAATAAATAGCTTCTTTCTGGGCTTTAAGTCCTTACAGTGCACCAGACAACAAAAATTTGTGTCTTGGAGTAGCTCCTAGAATTCTTTAATGCTGAAATATCTCCTCTACTTGCAAACCTGCGGCTCTCCCTTCTTTAGATAAGCAACTTCTGTTTAAACTGGCTTTTTTTATTACTGTCCTTTTGGGCAAGGGTTGGCACAACTGACAGAGACTCTAGGAGTGCGTGGTAGAGAAATAAGAAGTTTGAAGGTAAGATTAAACAAGTCCTCTCTGTTAAAAAGAGCAAGGGGAAAAAAAAAATCTGTGCTTGGGGTATTGACTTTCTCTGGCTCATGACAGTTTGAATGTACAGTGAAAAAAATTGGAGCACTTTAAAAGCTTTATAAGTTGTTTTCTTCTCTTTCAAGAAAACGGAATTCAGATAGGAACATCTTGTTTCAAGTAGCAGATGAATTAAATGTTGAAAATAGGATATTTTGGTTGAGTTTGTTGGAGTTTTTTTGTTAGGTAAGCATTAGACTCCCAAGAAAAGTACATTCTGTTTTCATGCATGTCTTATTGAGAGCAATGTGTGTTCTCTGTCTGGTAAGTTGTGCTGTCTGAAGCATCAAATAGCTTTTGGCAGGTTGGGTCTTAAAATATATTGTGTGTTATCTTTTATGGAGGATGTCAGCAGATGTCTGGATCCCAGCAATGAAATAGCGGGAGGGAGGCAAGACAAACCTGGGGTGTATCGTGGAGTGCTGTTGGAAGTGGAGATGGGGGATTGAGAGATGGGTAGTGAAGTGTGTTTTAGTCCCCTGTGTGGGGCAGAAAGCAGCTACAGCAGGGGATATTTTAAGCCAGAATTCAGCAAGATAACATAGGTGCCCACTTGGGAGCTGTATTTCTTTTTTGTCTGAGGCTTGTGAGCAAGATCAGACTTCGGGGACAGGCAGCCTTTTGCCCCCCCAAACTCCCAGTATGGGGGGGGGAACAAGGTGCCAACTGCAACCTCTAAAGAGAGACCAAAGGCAGGAGAGGAACCCAACTGATATTTTCTTCCAGTCTTACCGATGGACCTAGCCAGAAAAAAAAGGCATAAAATAACAACAGCTGTTGAAAAAAGTCCAAATCGTGTGCCTGTATCAACAGATGTTTTCATAAGCCATTGATTTTTAGGTTGTCCCAGCTTAAATACAGTAGGGGGGGTGAAAAGAGTCAAAAGGGTAAAATCTATCTAGAAGATGTTTCTCTGTGTTGGAGAACTTTATAAGCTGTCAGAGAAGCTGTAAACAAAGTTGCACCAAAATGTATAGTGGCTTTTAGTTTAAATTGTGCCTTTTTGCTTGTTACTGGCTGCTTGGGTTAACAAAGAAAATATTTTGCTTTCAATAGCTTTCAGAACTTTTGTTGGGTATTTTTTCTTATGCTTCTGCATTAAATAAGCCCATTTAACAAAACCTGATCCTCTTATAAACATGGAATAATGACAGTATCCCACATATGGGTTTCATTAATTTTTGCATGTTTTGAAGTTGCCTTTTTTTTTCTCCAAAAGGCAAACTTCAGAAACAGAAGAGATTAGTGCTACATAATGACCAAAACAGAGTAGCTGAGGAATAATAACAATAACTAGAAATAGTTAAATTATTTAACCGTTGCATATCAAAAAGGACTTTTTTTCTATACAGGAGGACGCTGCATCATCTGCACTCCTCCCAGTTGCTGTTACTGGTTTGCTTTGATTGAACTGGCATCAGTTCTGCTGATTATCTGCAAGCTTTTGTGCTCCTGAGTCTTGTAAATGGTTTGGATTTTAGCCTGGAGAGAAAGCTTCAGAACATTTCCCCCTTTCTTCATAAGAGAACAAAACCAACACTTTCCTTTTTCAGATGCTCCATTTTCCATATCTGCAGCACAGAAATTTGCAGCTCCCAGGACAGTCCAAATCAGAAGGATGACTCAGGGAAACTGCAAGATATAATAAATGCTGCTTTTTTATATTTTATCATCATCCGTTGGCTTAAATTTATTTATCTATTTAATAAAGCTATTAAATATATGGAAATGCAGCAGCTGTGGCAGGTGGGGAATGAGAGAGGGGACCACAAAAAGCCGACAACTGAGGTTTCCCTCTATTGACTTGACATTCACCATGTTTACAGGGACATTCTCTACTTTTAACTGAGTACAGAGGCAGAAGAGCAGGGCTTGGATCCATTATTCCAGTTAGGAATTATCCTTGCAACAACAGATGTTACTGTAGCGAAATCTTTGGAAAGCTGGTAGAGGAGACGTAGCATATGTTAGTTAATAACCTTAGAATAAATATTTTATTATTTTTCTGGAGCAGTGTCAACAGTTGAGAAAATTCCTCACTAATGGCGATGCTTCTACATATCTGGCTGTTAATTACAGGTTTTATGTCCTGAAATTCCTTTAAAAATATTTTCTAAAATTGGGCTAAAGAGGAGAACATATTTAGCATGCATTGATATAGTAATCATTAATGATGGCTTTGTAGACCCAATGAATCCTTACCCTTGTATATACAACTTTAGTCTAAGGGGATGAAAGTGGGGTAAAAATGGATAAAACCAGGTTTCTTCCACAGGGTCAACATTCTCTCCCGGGCTCTTGAGCTGTAAAGACATGTTTGTTTAATATTCCTTACAGAGGACTACCAGGAAAATGGATAAAACAGTGAGCAAAGGAATATTCATGTGGTCCTAAAGCAGACCTCCCTGGTGGGAGCTGGAGTCCAAATGCCTCCTCTCAAAGTTTGCGTTGGATTTTATTTCAAGTTTTCCAAGTGCATGTAGAGAGGGCATGAAAATATTGGTTGGATGCGAGCGTAGGTAGGAGGGTGAGCTGAGTGTCTGTTATTGCTGGGAGAGGGGGCTTGGCTGCACTCAGAGCATCTCAGTTACCAGTCAGGGCTCAGATCCTCCTCCCCACAAAGCAAACAGAAAAATTGGAAGGGCAAAACAAATGCCACAGTGTCTTCAATCCACTACCTTCATTAGCAGCCGAGCAAAAAACTGACCTGGGAATATGATGGGTGCCTTTGTACAGTGCTCTGCTTTCCCACCACTTCCCCTCCCAGATTTTCAATTGCAAGATGAAAGAAGAGATAACTTTTTCCCTTTTGATGGAGTGCCTGGCCAGGACAATACACTGGGTCGTGTGGGCTTCCAAGGGCTGAGTCCTAGGGACTTCAATTAAAAAGGGAAAGAAAAAAAAATAATAAGGGAAGCTGAATCATTTTCTGGCATGATTTATTCATTTGAATGACCCGTCTCTGTTTTTCAGTTAGATTACAGTGCCTTAAACTGTAGGCATGAAAGAATGGCAAAAGCTGAATAATTTCCTCAGTTCAAAATGTGTCATTTTTATATTGTCCATTAATTTCACTCGCAGATGCCATACGTCATTTTTGTTGGGCTTTATCCGCCAATTCATCTACACAATCTGCTATCCTGTCTCTTTTTTTGGCTAACTACATAATTCTTCAGATAGAAGCATCCACCATGACATTTCATGGCACTGATCTCATGTTATGGTGAGGCATCCTGGAGTGATGTCTGCCTGCTCCTGTGCCCTGCCTGCAGCAGTGGGGGGGTCATGCTCTCATTTCATAACATAGCGATGTTTTCTGCACTCTGGAAATGTGAGGTGGTTTGCTTTCCTGCACAAAACCTCATACTAATTTTTAACCTCATGTGTTGAGTTGTAGAGCTTTACTCTTCCTGAGATTTCTGTAAATCAGTACTTTCTTATATCCTGTACCTATCCCAGGTGTGTCAGAATGAGGATTTTTATTATGAATGAGATAAAAATGAAAAACTCCTTTGATTTTTGCATTTGTGAACTTTGTAGGTAAAGAAATATACCCTTTTTCTTTCAAATGTAATGATCTCTTCCTTAGCTCCTCTGTAGGATGAGTTACTAGATATTGCTTGATTGGGTATAATGTGGATTGAGCAGGTCTTCAAGTATTTGGTGGATGGCCTGTGCAAACCAATTTCAAGTGACTTATATAAAGCTTACGGTGGTTTGAAAACTGCTATATATACAGTTCACTGTTTTAAATACTTTCATTTATATAATTATCTTTCCAGATCCCAGAAATTGTAATCCTGCCTTTAGAGTGAAATCACCATAATTAGCAAAGATTATCACAGGATCACAATATTCTGAGTTGGAAGGGACCCATGTAAGGGTTATTGAGTCCCACACTTAAGTGAATGGCCCATATGGGGATCAAACCCACAACCTTGTGTTATTAGTACTGTGCTCTAACTGACCTAATTGGGATGGGTTGCTCATTGTGTGCATGTAAAATTTACATGTTCATTACCAGCAACTGAAGAATGTGAAGGGAAACTTTAACAAAGCTATCATGACCAACTTTAGTGTTGAATGAGATCAAAGAAGTAAATGCTGTTTCTTCAGCAGCAGCTTCAGCTTGGGCTGAGACAGCTGTGAAACCCAAAGCATTATCTCCATCCAAATGCATTGGTTGCAAATTGTATTATTCTTTATGAAAGACGACATTTTTTTTGGTGTTTGACCCAATCTGTAGGTCAGTAGGCCCTGTGTCCTGGTGGGAAGGAAGTGGCTGAGCATGGGAGCAGCTGATATCCTGGAGGACACAGGGGATGTGCAGCACAGGTTGCTTCTGGGAGACTTGTTTCCTTCTGTAGTTCATTGCTCAGATGCTCCTTTACAACCTGTTTTGGGGACTGCTCCTGCTTTATCCACTTGTGTTTTCCTTTCCCCATCTTCAGGATGTTGGAATTCACAGAGCAATGCAAAATGTCCAGTGTTTGACAGCAGAAGTATTTCAACTCCCATAACACACTAAATAAATATCTGTGGCGTGGTCCAAGATCCCACAGCACTTCAGCCAACCAGACATCCTGATTTGCGGTTATTTTTGGTAAAGGAAGAACTAGATCTTGCAAAGTGATATAAAGTCAGCTGAGGGGTTGCTAATCTCTCGCGTGGGATGCGTTTCTCCTGCAGCCATTTGGGAGCAGTAAGATGGGCAGTTGACTTCCTCTGGAATGCTCTGTGGCAGACCAAAGCTTCAGCATTTTTCTGAAGGTTATTTGGACAATGGAAATTCCTGAAAAATGTACACTGAGTCTCCGAGAAATATTAGAAAAGGGAAGGTCAGGAAGTGGCTGAAGGTCTCTCAAGGTGTTTTTGTATTTTCTCAAAACGCACGCTCCATGTATCCATGTGTCTGACAGCTTTCCAAGCGCTCCTCATTCCCCCATGGCTCTTTAGCTGTTTGTTAGATGGTTCTGTCTTTGAGCTCAAACACAGGCTGCAGCTGGATGGTGGATTGTTTGGATGTTAAATTCAGCTCAGTCGTGTCGTCCCAAAGCATGGTGTTGCTCTGGGAGGAAATGTCTCTCTCCAGACTTTTGTGTGAAGATATGATTTAAACAGGGAAATTTTGGCAGAGTCAGGGCTGCCCAGGCTGGAGAATAAAACTTTTGTTGGTACTGTGAATGATTTGCCCCAAGGATTAAATAAAACTGTCGAATATCGAGGTGTTTTAGGACCAGGATTATGAAGGTTTGTTGCTGCAACACTGACCTTCCCCTTTAACAGCAGCACAGTGCTTGCCATGGATGGGATCCCTGTGATGGCTGGTCATGGGGGACTGCCCATCCCTCTCTGTGATTCCTCTTCTTTCCATGCCCTACCTCGTAGAAGAATTCAAAATCGCAACCAGCCTTTTGGGACCACCCCTTGAAGAGGGTGGGACACTGGTGGGTCCTGCCATGGCCACAGGGATGCAACTCTGGACCAAAGTGCCACCACATCACAGGAATGTAGTCTGACAGGCAGGATAGGAGCAGGTCGGTCACTAAGCTCCTCTCAGTCTTGGAAGCTCCTGGAAACATGAGAAATGCACTGTCATCAGCCAGGGCTCTCTACCAAGGTCTGTGGTGGGGGTGCTCACTATGGTCAGCTCATTATGGTCAGCAGCTGCCTGGTCTGCTTCAAAATCCACATTTGAGCATCCACCTTGGTCTTCTCCTGTGTGGGTGCTGACCTGCCTCCCGGCAGACACGATGGATGTGCACTCCCTTCCAGATTGGACGTGCTCCTCTTAAAGGCTTTGCAGCATTAGAGTGCAGATTTCCTTTGCCTTATTTAGTTTTAGGAAAAAAGCGATTTGTTTTGTCTATCTGTGCAAGTGCCAGAAACATAACATTTTAAAAACTCTTTCCAAAAAGCTGATTGCTTTTAAGAAAAGAACAGTTAAAATTGTAATTCTTCTCTCTTACTATCTGATGAATTTATTATCTCCTGGTTTTAGTGCCCAAAATTGGGTTTTGACTTGCTTAAAATGGGCAGAAGTTTTTCCTTTCATCTACTGCTCCATTAGTTCCTATCAGAGCTACAGTGAAAAAAGTTAATATGCCTGAGTATTTCTGCAGATTGCATCATTTTCAGCGTTTCATAACGATATGGCAAAAGTAATTTGAAACAGATAACAATAGTTCAGTCTGTTTCAGGATAACCATGATTTCCTTGTCATTAAGAGGTCTGTTAGCGGGTAGAGGAGGAGTTTTATCTGGATGAGTTACAGATCATATGGTGTGATCAAGTGCCTTTTTTTTTTTCTTCCCCCTCTTTTCCTTCCCTTGAAATCCGCAGTGCTGGACTTTGGTTTGGATATGAAACGATTGGATAGTTTCAAACTCCTGTCTGCACAAAGCAGCTCAGCACTTCCAGATGTTTTCAATAAGGAACCCAGAACTGTCGCATCAGCAGCCGGTGGCCAGGGCTGCTGCTCACGTCTCTGCTCCATTTTGAGCAACTCACCAAAAAAAGAGAATTATTTACTTGCTAGAGCAGGCTTTCTTTAATTTAATCTTTATCTTCTGATTGTCTGGCTCATTGTGTTTCAGAGCATAAATACTATATACTGTCTAAACACTTGTATGGCATTCAAGGACTGCCTTAAATAGCTGGACAAAAGAGATTGGAAACCTTTGTTCAGCTCCGTCCGGGCTCAGTCTGTGTTCTGCATCTGCCCTCTGTGCTGTGTGGATGTCAGGCTATGTGCAAGGCAAGATTTCTAGCCTGAAACAATGCAGCAAAAGCCCCACCTAATGTGGGAAGAGAGTGGTGGTCTCCCAAGGGAGGGTGTGTCTGGCACATTATCTTCTGTTTGTTTATATTATGTTTTTCTCCCCCCTTCAACAGTAAAGTCTGGAATTGAAGATGAGATGGACTTTGGGTGTCTGTAGTCGTCACTGGCCTCCTGATCTTGGCTGTGAGTCAGGAACATAACCACAGAAAAAACTCTTGGAACAAATTAGGGATTTGGAGGCTTAAATTTAAGAAGAAAAAGAGAAGGGAGAGAGGGGTTTTGTTGGTTTATTTATTTGTTTGTGTTGATTCTTTTCTTCTGTGGCTGAAGATGTAGGAGTCAAGGTGTAGGGTTGTCAAGTGGACAACCTTTACTAGATCAAGACACATGATTATGGAGGAAGGCAGGTCATCACCTTGATTCACAGGTAAGGTATGGACATACACCAAGTCCTGGGATACATCCTGTGCCCAGAGTCACCCAACCTGGCACTGGTCTGACAGCTTCTCTGACCACCTCTTGCCACCTGTCTGCACCTTCCACCTGAACTTTCAGTTCCCTGCTACTCCATGAAAGCACACATTGGGTTACTTGTGGCTTTTGGCCATCCCAAAATTGGCCCCCTCTTTTAAACTTCCCATTATGAAAGTTGCACATCTCCCAGCATTTCTCCCATCTCCTTTGGCTGGAGGTGTTTCTCCTTTCTCCTTACCTGCCAGAAGGGTGAGATAACGGGAGCCACAAAAGGCTGGGCGTTGGTGTAGCCACAAGTTGGACCTGTCTTGCACCTCCGTGGAAGATGTGCTGTCGCAGTTCGTAGGGATGCTCACCTGGCAGTTTCCTCTGCAAGGTGGGCATTGCCTGAGCCCGGCAGCTGAACGTCTCTTTCTGGTTGCCAGAGGACCTCTGTGGATCAAAGGTGAAATCCTTTGAATGGAGCATCTGGACAGAATTGTGCAGTTGTTGTTTGGATAAATCTTGACTGTGTATGCCAGCAGCCATAATTAAATTGATTTGAAAACAAAAATATCTGCAATGAAACCTTAGAACATCATTAAGGCACAGTGACTATTGTAAATTCTTACACCTGAACTAAATTCACACACTTTGTTTATAGGTTCCTGTCTTGTACATTTAAATTTGAGGAAATCCCTGCCTTTTATGGTAGTGTTTGAAGGGCTGGAATGCTGTCACAGCCATTTCTAATTCCTCATCTCGACAGGCACATGATTGCTGGGATTCATTACTTGTGGAGAAAACTGGTGCCTCCAGAAAGTCCCCAAAGTACGACCACATTTCGTGTATGTCCTAATACTGAAAGCAGAAGCTCTGCTTGTTGTTGAAGAAAACAGAGTCATTGGCTGAGATCTCGAGCCAGGGATTGTAGCTGTAAGAGAACCTCATAGAGGAGATCCTCCTCCGTTCAGCGGGTGGTGTGGTGGAGATGAAGCTTTGGGTTGTGAGGGAGAGACTGGAGCCTGGTGAAAGTGGGGGGAGATACCTCGCGTTGAGTAGGTAAGAGTTTACCTGTGTCCCTAACCTGGGGGAGCTCATCCCCTGTGAGTCCCCAGCCCATCCAGCACACGAGGACACGGCCATGGAGCGATGCCCACTGTGGACCTTGGCTTAGGGAGTTGGCCACTGTGTCACCAAGTCTTAGGAAAAGATGCCCTTCTTTGCTCGCTTACTGAGCTTGCTAAGTCTGGAGGGTAACTCTGCTTTTGTGTAATCTGACTGTAGGATCAGGGGTGTCTTAGCTAGGAACCCAAAATAGTACGTTGTAGTTCTGTAAACTCCTGGTTTTTGGTGTTCTACCAAACGGGCGTGGAGGGGAGTCAGTTCTTGTGTTACTCGCAGGCTGTGGTGCAATGTTTTTGGGCAGTCAGAAGACTGTGTAGCACTGGGAAGAGAGGAGCTGGAGTGCCTGTTCACAGCAGATGGGTTTGGATCTCCTTTGGAAGACTCATCTTGCACTCAAATGCTGAAAAATATGCTTCAGTAGGCTTCAGAGTTTGAGTCACCTTTACCAGAGTTTCACCTGGTGGTTACAAAGCTCTTTATACAACCAGGACCACCCTATGGGACTGGATGAAAAGACTTACAACTCCCTAACTAAGCTCCAGGAGTGGGGCAAATCCCAGCAGCAGGAGGTGGGCCAGTTTGCCCAGCGCTGCCAAGGACAACTTTTGGAGATCAGCAATTAAACGTTGGGTTGATAAGTACTGTTTCCAATTCTGTGTTTCCTGCTTTGCAGCATGCAATTAAAAATTCCTGCATTTTCAGCTTTTCTATTTAGCAAAGCAGCAAGTTCTGGTTGCTACGAACTCCCAGTCACAGAAGACCCCGCTTCCCCTTTTCTTCTCTTTTTTTTTTTCCTTTTTTTTTTCATTTTGAACCGCCCCCATTCTCTCTTGAATCGGTGAATGAGAGAATGTCTAAAGCCAGGGAAGTATGGAAAGATTTCATCCCTGGAGAGGTCAGGGTGGGGTGGAAAGCAGAGGGGGCTGCAAGGGGGCAGTTTGAAAACAGGAAACCATGTGGCAGTGAGCGTGCAGGGCCCAGCTGATGTGAATGAGCTATTGAGAGCAGAGAGTTGCTCGAGCTGGCCCAACATTAGAAACATGAAAAACTTTAGGGTGTTTTTTTGGTGTTCTCTTTTTTTTTTTTTTAAAGGAAAAAAAGCTCTGCCTTTCAGGCTAGGAAAAAAGAGAGAAAATTGTATTTTCTGGGCAACAAGTTGTTGAAATCTTTTCCTCTGTGTTGCAAACAAAACAAGAAAAAAGTAAATGGCTGATTTCCTTTTTTTTTTTTTTAATTTTTTTTTTCCATGTGCACTGATTAAATCATAAGTTTCCATTCCTGGTTTGGGAAAGCATTAACCCTGAAACTGTCTTTGATTCACCTGGCCTGAGGGTGTTGGAAGAGTCTTTTTACCTCTCCAAAACCATGTCCCTTTGCTCTCAGTCTCTTTTTAGACCGAGCAAACACACTGAGTGCCTGCAACCGGAGGTGGAAGAGGCTGGCAAAGAAAAGCTGCTGCTTTTTCTTCCCCCCCTCCCTCCTCTTTTTTTTTTTTTTTTTTACTCTCTGAATCATGCTCCCACAACTGCACAGTAAATTTGAAAGCTGGGAGAACACTGGTGCAGGACTAAAAAGGCAAGTAGTGACGTCCCAGCCCAAATCAGGAGGGGAGTGGCTTTATTTCATTATTTTCTTTCCTTTTGCCCTGTGCTGTCATCAGAAATTTAAACTTAATGCAAAACCGAGCCCTCCTGCCTTGTGAACAGTGGACTGACTAGAAAGGAGGAAAGTACCTTTCTTCATTATTTCTTTCAGTGAATGAGGGCGTGAAAGACAAAACACGTTGGTGACAGTATTTACGTTGGATACTGTGATTGGCTTTTTTTTGTTTTTCTTTTTTTCCTGAATTAGACCCGTCGTGGCTGAGCCTACCTTCTGCCTTTCCTCTCGGAGTGTCAGGGTTTCTGCTGCACACATCTGGCTTTTGTTCTCTTTTCAGGCAGGATTTTAATTCTGATGCTTTTTGGATATCAAAGTTGTCTGGAAAACATTTTTTTTTATTACTATTACTATAACAGGAAGGCTGATACCATTCTTAGCAGTTGCAAAAAAATTAATCCTATATGTATAAAGCTGTCTTCAAATATCTTTTGTTTGCTATAAGTTCCTGCGTTGCCTGTATAAGCAAATCTGTTCCGAGAAGACTTTATCAGCCCGTCGCAGCTCTGGGATTTTCTCTTTCCTGTTGAGAAGCTCGGACAGGCTGGTGTGCTGAGACACAGGGACTCCTCTGAGCACGGATGTGAGAGGTCTGGAGTGCGCCTGACCGTGGTCAGCCCGGGGTTCATGGTGGGCTCTGCTCCTCCACTCCCGGCTTTTTGGACAAAATGTACGAACGCCACAAGAGGCGATACAGCCTGTGCGACATCTCCAAGGTGGACAGGACTGTAGATGTTGTGTTGTTAAAGGTATGGTGTTTCTGTGCATTTCTTTACGGGTTCCTTTCCCTATCTCCAGTGGATCGATCTGTTCCTCACTATACTCGTGTCCCCGGCTGGGTGGTGCAGAGAGGAGGGGCAGGTGGGAGAGCTCTTGCCCTTCAGCATGGAGATGGTTTTGAATGTTATCAAACCATTTCATGCCAAATATTATTATCTCTGGAGCTAGATAATCTCTAGTGGCATGCACTCTTTGGGATCACTCCCTGACCATCTTCCCTGTCCTCTGTCATTAAACAGTCCTCTCCTGATTTAAAACCCTCTCAGGTGGGTTTTCTGCATAAGGTGCAATAGGTTTTCATTTCCGGTGGTCGCTTATGGGGTTGAAATGCACGTTTCCTGAAAGATGTATTCTGTCAAAAAAAAAAGGCATGGTGGATCCTCCTTTACCTCTGTTTCTCATTTGTGTTTGAAGGGTGTTGTTGTCAGTCTTGTTGTTTGGGTGTGAGTTTTGTCTGAGGATGGGTTGGAGCAAGAGTCAGGAGTGGTTCTTGGCTAATTGTCCCAGTGTGTTCCTCCTCTAATCTAAAATTAGCAAGTGCTCCACCAAATGGCACAATGGCAGTCTGGGAATGTCCTGTCTCTGTAACAGCTTTTTGGAGCTTCAGCAGTTTCCTGGCAGAGTGAATGGAAATAGGAGAGCAGCCAGAGGGACTGCAAAACACAGCCCAACTTAGAGATCTTAACTCCTGGAAGAGCATTTCCTTTCCCTCTCCCTTTTTCTCTTTTTCTTAGCTGAAGCAGTGGGACTGTGCATGATCGTATGGCTTCCTCTTTTATGATTTTTGCTTCATGCTCTTGTTTCAAAGTCAAGATGAGAACATGTAACAAGTTTATTTTCAAATGATTCTTGTCCTACTTTATCTGCACTAAAATAGACTTAGCTTTTGTTAACTTGCTCGGTTTAGGGATGAAAGTATTGTATCATCATTTTTTGGCGGCACAAATAACTGTAAGTTGTTTTTTCTACCAACTCAATTTTTTGGAGTATTTTTGAACTCTTATATTAATGATGCTGATAGAGGATTGAATCCCGTGGTATTCAGTCTCTAGACACCCTATGAGTCATTAAAAATGTTGACGTATTGTGCACACTCTACTTCTATGAAATGACTGTTTAATAATTCTTGGGAGAAGACCTGGTGTCCCTGACAATCTTGGTTGCCAATATAAAACACAGTCTTTCTCTTTATAAAGAATATCTGTATGCCTGGGTTGAAATGTAACTCACTAGACTTATCTGACTTCAGTATTTCTGATGTCACCAGTTCCTTAAATTAGTTTTTGTTCAACAAAGCTCAGATTTTATAACAAAATGTGTCTCTTGTTAGTTCCAACTAGTATTTTCCTAACTGCGTTTCAAAACTGTGGGTTATACTGTCTGTCCCTGCAAATGACTCAGTGTCCATATATGTGTGTGTGTGCACACATTGCTGCTCCCAACACGGGCTGTACAGGCTGCAGATGTTTAGAATAGGAGGGTACTGGTGACAGCTATAGCTACGATCAACTTTAGCTTGATTTTCAGTTGTTCTTCATGTTTTATCTGGTTTCTGTAACATAACTGGTAGATGAAATTAAATTTTGATGATCTAGGGATCCCAGCCAGCACCAGAGTGCGTCAGTGGCAGATCATCTCTTGACGTTAATGGGAGTTGGATCAGGTCCTTAATGAGGGAGCTGGGGGCGGGGATTTTGTTGGGTTTGGTTTTAATTAAAATGCTGAAATAAAACTGTACATTATCTAGGTAATTGTATTTTGGGGAGTTAAGAGGACAAGGCTTAAGTGTCAAGTATTGAAAAGCAAATAAATACCCTTAAAACAAAAGCAAACCCATCAAGAGTGTTTGATCTGACTGAAATTTTAGCAAGATACCTGCAAAGCATTAAACAGCTTTCAGTTTGGCCTGCAGATTGACTTGGACAAGATGTAGTTTCTTTGAGTGGTAGATGAATACGTTCTTTGCTCCATTTCAAGACAGAGAACTCAGTAATCATAGAATCATAGAACTGTTTAGGTTGAAAAGACCAGTAAGATCATCAAGTCCAACCATTAAGCAGCACTGCCAAGACCACCACTAAACCATGTCCCCAAGTGCCACGTCTACGCATCTTTTAAATACCTCCACAAATCGTGACACAGAAAATAAAATCAGCTGGTGGAGAAGGACAACTGGAACAAGTGGTGAACAAAGATCTTGTGTCATTTTGGATATTAAATGCTTATAGATGGGATTATGTTTGCATTGACTGCAACCATCTTTAGATACAGTCACAAAAGAGTTTTGATTCCTGCTGATTATTTTGCAATGCACGTGTCTTCTGAAGGGTCACTGTGTTGAGGCTCAAATTTTCCATGTTTAGATTGTGCCTGAAACAGTGGCTTATGGAGTTATGAAAAAAATCAACCTCAACAATTTTGAGGGTTGATACACACAGTTATTTTTGGCTTTAACATAGCTTCTTCCTCCTCCCCACATAGAAAAAAGCAAGAGGCAACAGGTTACTCTGTGTCCCAGCCTCTATGTCAGAGGTAGGACTTCATCACAGGAAGAAATTCCTTACTGTAACGGAGGTGAGGCACTGACACAGAGAAGCTGTGGGATGTCCCATCCCTTGAGGTGTTCCAGGCCAGGTTGGATGGGGATTTGAGCAACCTGGTCTCTTGCAAAGTGTTCCTGCCCATGACAGGGGCTTTGGAACTGGGTAATCTCTAAGGTCCCTTCCAACTCAAACCATTCTATGATTCCATGTTCTTCACTGGCTGCTGCAGCAATGCAACAATGATGAACTTGGTCCCTGAACAGAGTGGTTTACCACTGTGCAGGGAAGCCTGGATGAGGCAGAAATGACATCGTTGCTCCTGCCAGGATTGCTTTGTAGCAGATGAGGGAGAAGATGTGGGGTATGCAGGATGTCTGCTTGTCTGAACATTTTGCTGAGCTCTGAGCAGCTACGTGCAGGGTAAAGCAGTCTGTGCTGTGTTATTGCAAGCCCAAAATGGGAAGTCTCAGTGTGCCCATGTGTGTGTTGGCAGCCCTGTCTCATTTTTATGTTGTGCCTGCTACCACAAATATAACTATCTAGGGACGGAATACCAAAACCACACTGGCTGGCACCTTTCAAATGCATGTAAGTCAGACAAGTGTTCAAGTGTGGATGAACAGAGTTAGGAAGTAAGAACTGGGCTTACTTTGGGAATGGGAGACTGAGCAATTGCAACTGGGAATGTTTTATAATTGCTTATTACCTCTATTTGCATTTTACCTTTATATGTGAATGTTCAGACTGTTAGGTGTAGGCAGTAGGTGTAAGTTTTTTTCATAGCTGGGGTACTGAGGTTTGATTTATCTGCTTTCCAGATGAACCAATGCCATTTGGCTTCCAGTTAAAGATCAGAACATTATTCGTGAAATTAAAACCTGCATTAATAATTAATTAAGGGATTTTGGAATTATTCTGCTCCCTGGCTGCTCTGATAGCTCTACCTCGGCACTGGAGATGATCCTCTGGAATGAACCCTGCCCACCTAAGGCAAAGGGTCATTTGTAGCATCCTGAGCTAGAAGCACTATGTGGAGAAGGTCCCCAAATTAACTGAAACTAGGGTTCCTTCCACTGTATGTCTTCTTACTTAGCTTTTTCTTTTTTATGTTTTTGGTTTATCGACACATAAGCAAGTTCATTCCTTCTTTGGGGTTGTTCGTCTGAGGGAAGCGCCATCCCCCGGTGATGGGTACACAGTGTCCATCAATATTTGCGGCCCTAAAATAATTCTGAACTTTAATCCTACATCTGTCCACGCTGTTACGGTTCTTGAAGAAGGTGAGAATTGTATTTAGAATGATGTGGACAACTTTTGAGTTTTTCTCTTTGTGTCTCATGTAGAATTAGGACAGGAAGGACAACTTAAATGAAGTTAATGTGTTTTCACCTTAGGCACACACATGTTTGTGGGAATTTTGCTCACATATGTTAGTTAGTCAAGAGAGGGTTTTTATGCAAAGCCAGTGCTGTTATTTTTAAAGCTTAATTAAAGTTTGTCATTACCAGGACTCTTAATTTTGCTGGTAGAGGACATCCCAGTGCCAAGGGCTGGAAAACGTATTTGGGGCACACATTCCTTTCCCCAGCTGGAATATTGCCAGGGGGAAAAAACGCACTCTAAGAATTCAACATTGCTCTTACACCACAAAGTGCTGATTTATTCAGTCATGTAACATGTCCTGTGGTGGTAGGAACCTCTTCTGGTGTAATCCTTTAGTGAGTTTCCTACAGCACTGCTTGCTTGTTGCTGTGAGCGAGATCACTTTGGGTCTTCTTGAAAAAATGTCCTGATATGGTGTCACCAGTTCTGTAAAGGTAAAAAGCTCCCTGTCATGTATTCACAGTACTAAAAGAAAAATCTCTGTAGAAATCATTGAAGAAATGCAAGTGTTGTCCCTTTCGGCATACACTGGAGAATGTCTTTGTGTTCTGCATCCACATGTTAATATCTTCCCCCAAAGCTAAGAAAATACACAGAGAGATTACAAAAAAAAAAAATTAAATAAAAAATAAATCTGGAATTCGCAAGCAAATTGATATGTCTACTCTTAATATTGTCTGGCAAGATGATTGCCAAAGCAGTGATTTTTGCTCTTATGTGAGTTTCGTGTATATGGAGTTTTTCTGCAGCAACAGATGTTGAAGGAAACAGTGGAAATTCCTTCCCCAGGTGCCCCATTCTTCATGCTCTTTTTGAAAGAGGTCTGGAGGATCTTTAGGGGTGGATTTTGTGAAGGGGGTGAATCAACTGTTGTTTTCGTTTCTAGTGCAGGAATTAGAGGCAACTGGATAATTCTATTGTAAATGGAATTGTAAAGTTTAAAGTTTAAAGTTGTTCAGTATAAACATTGAATTCCAGTTATGTGTACAAATTTCCTCAATGAAACTATCCTACAGGAAATTTTCAGGAGCAGGGAGTTCCTAGAAAAAAATTAGAGTCTACATATATTTCCCCTCTCCCCCCCCCAAAAAAAAAATCGTTTTAGCATTTCTCATTATTATGTCAGTTGTTGCTCAGTAAGTGTACAGGTACCTAATGAAACACTAGGCAAGCTAGACTTTAGTCTCCTAAGTATTTTCCTATGTGCAGTAGTATCTGGTTTTAACTGCAACGTAGATCCTAGTCAGGAAGCTGGAGAAAGAAAAGGAGAGAAATGGAAACTTGTAAATTTAGGACAAAGTTAAAACAATATGGAGGGAAAAGGAATCTCTAGAGATCTACTAGGAAATGAAAGTTAAATTCATATGGTTCCTTCTGCTCTGGAGGTGTTGATTTATATCACTACCAGTGAGGTTGGCAAGTGCAAACTTCTAAAATAGCGGAAGATTTCCCGAAAGGTCACTGTGTTCTCTTTGTTGTGAAATGGAAGGCAAGAAGAGTTAAAATAAAGCCAGAGGGAGAGAAAAGGACTTTTCTGTGCTGGAAAGGTAGGAGAGGTACATAGGAGCCAGGTAACCACTGGCCTCCAAGGGGCCCGTTCCTAGGGACCCTCCAGCACACTGCTCTGCCAGAAACAGATATTTTTGAAATGTCTTTGAGAAGGAGGTCCCAACCCTGGGTTTCATGGGCAGGCACCACACAGGACTTCAAGCACTGCAGGAGATTAGATAGCTCCTTGACCAAGACCCTCGTGTAGGGGTAGAGGAAAGAAGAGCCTGGGAACAGAGTCTGGGGTCACTCATTTTTCCTGCAAGACACCCCAGCCCTGTTTGTCTCACAGATTGTCCAGCACCGGCCTTTTCTTATGCAAAGAAGTTTCTCCATTAAGTCACATTAAGTTTCAAATTCAATGTCTGCAGGAAGAGGTCTCAGAGTCAGGAAATATGTGTGTGTGCCCAGAAAGAGCAATCGAACCGTCGGCTGCTCGCAGCTCCAGCTGGTGTCCTAAAGCCCTCTTTGAACATTTAGTCTGCTAGTGTTTCACAGGCAAACACAAAATCCTTTGGGATTCAGCCTTTTGTGCCTGGGGATGTGCTTCCATGATTCATTCTGTGACTGAGCTGCAGATAAACACATTCAGGCTTCTGTGTGGAAAATAGCTGGTTCTCTCCTGGCATTTCTTCAAAAGCTGTATTGAAACTCTGTTCCCAGAGGCTGTTTCATATTCCCTCTGCCATCAGAACACCACAGCATCCTCCACTCCCACCACAAAGACTTGGGATGCCTGGAATCAGTGGGCTATAATCAGAGAGTGTGTGGGGCTTTTATCATCTTCTCTGACCACCAGCCTGTGGTCCTGTTGTTGGGCTTCTCTCGGCTAAACAGACACTGAGGGAAGAAGGGAGGAATAGTTTTATCACATGTAATGCTCATGTGTCCACAAAATCCCAAGACAACCTCATTTCAAATTTCTTCATGCTAGTGCATTACCCAGCTCCTGATGTTTAGGTGCTTTTATAAAGGTAATTTTCTCTCCAGCCCTTACTGTTTGTACTTGTCGTCACTAGTCCTGAGTAAACACAAACAGAATTCAGGTGTTGAGGAGGGATCCCAGTGATCAGTGTTGAGCTGTGGATAGTGGGGTTTGTGTTTTGAGTATCTACAGACCACCCAGTTTCCTGAGAGCACTCAGTAAACCTCCCTCAAGTCCTGTCTGGGCTCGTTTTGGCATAGGGAATACTTGTATATAGTAGTGGTTTCCTTTGTGTTTTGATGGTGGTGATTATTGTTTTTCCTGAATTAGGGCTACTGAAATAAATATTTAGTTTTAATGTTTTATTTTGTACATAATAAGGCATATCTGAAGCAGCACCTTAAGCCTCAGTGTTACTCTCTCATTACTTTTTTTAACAGAAAAAAGCAGACGTTTTCAATACTTGGCAAAGCCACAGGGCTGAGGAGAGAGCTGGCTGGGAAATGGGAAAAATACTCAAATCTTTTTTGAAAAAGTGCCAATGTCTATAATGCATTTTCAGTGAATGACTCAATTGGTTCTATTAAGGGCAAAAATATAATGTTAATTCACCCTAATATAGTTTATTCAACAGACAGCTTGAACCTCCTTATATTTTACTTTCTTGCTAATTATTGATCGGGAGGTGTAATAATTGGTTTCCTTTAGTGGATATCAGTAAAAATCAGGAGTAGTTCCTTTAAATGTAATGGAGATTTGTTTAAAAGTATGAAGGGTCAGACTCAATATGATGAGGAAAGAGTTAGGTGCAAGCAAATCAGAAGGAGGCAGAATTTGATTTTGTATCTGAATTGGGTCGTTCCTTCATTTGTGTGGACTTGAGCACATTTGCATTTGTCCTTCTCCATGTGTTCAGGCTCAACCTCTAGATTTGCCTTTAATAAAATGTAAGAAACCATGGTGCAAATAGATTCTGCTTTATCTGAAGAGAAAAGGATAATAACATGATATTTATTGATTTTACAGTCATAAAGTGGTATTTACTGGCTTTGCAGCTCCTTTAAGACTAAAAAAGAATAAATTCTGCAGTTAAGTTTAGTTGCTCAGGTTCAATACCATACAGCCTCACTGAGAACAGGGAGTGTCTTCTGTTGAAAGAATCCAAATGGTGACCCACTGTCCATGTAACAGTTAAAATTCAACATCTTTGTGTCCCTTTGGAAAACAAAAAAATCATTGGTTTGAGTTTTTGGTTACAAAAACCCTTCTCAGACTTCGGACTGCTTCTCTTTCCCTCTCCACCTCTCATTTAATATAGATGTGCTGTATGTAAAAGGGAGAAGATGAATATGCAGGTGTGTGTGTTGAGAAGAGGTGCAGGGAAGGCTGGGATCTTAGATGTGTGTGCATAGCGGGGTGTAATGGGATCTTGGATGGATGTGTATATAATATATATATATAAGCAGAGTCAGTGAGTAAGTGCTAGGAAGTGTACATTGTATCTAAGCAAAACTGCCTGTAAAATTGGATGGAAGTGGGGAAGAATGTCCATGTGGGATGTGCACTGAGGTGCCCCGGAGACTTGACTCCGGCAGAGCACAGTGTCTCCTTCACCTCTTCTCAGAGACTCCTGCTCATTTTTCCCCTCTCAGATCTTCTTTGCTCCCTCCCTGTCTCTGTCAGCAAGAGCTGCTGACGGGAGAAGGTCACGGCATCCTCGCCACTGGAGGATTTTAAGGGCACGTTGGATTAAGACCTCTCAGATGATAATTGAGCCTGACTTGGAGCAGCAGAAAGAGACTAGCTGACCTGTCAGAGGCCCTTCCAAGCCTCTTTTATCATCCCCGAAGTATGGAGGAGGACAAAACCTGAGGAAGAAAAATGTGCCGCAGAAAGTAGCTGACAGGTCAGGGGGAGTGGAGAGCAGGAGGTGAGCAGAGGTGCTGGCAGGAGCCCCTCGGGTGACAGGCAGGAGACGCAGCCAGAACAGTGAGGAGCACCAGCCAACAACTGCAGTAACAACTTCCATGATCTCAGTGAGAAAGGAAACAAGGACGTGGGTCATTAGTCAAAGCATCCTGTCAGGTCAAGGGTAGGAGAGTCTTGGTTTTTCTTTATTGAAGAAAAAAAAAGAGAATAAAAAGGCAAAACCAGTGCATTTCATAACACAGGAGAAAGGTGACCAGTGAGAGGATGAGAATCCAGCAAGGGACTGCAAAAATAGAGCAGGATCACAGAGGAGGTTTGAACATGGGTCAGAGTCTAAAACTAAATAGTAAAAATTCACTATTTGACATAGAGAAAAGGAAATTATTTCAGGAGAGAAAATGAAAACCAGAGAGAGCTGGTAGAAGAAATAGTTGATATATCAGGCAAAGTCATCCATTTCAGTAGTTTCCTTTTAGCTACAACTTAACATGTGAGATCCTGTGTTTGAGGCAGGCCAGGAGGGGAAACAATCTCTGGATTTCATTGTGTGGGACAGGTGAGATTTGCATGCATTTGACAAATAAAGGCATTTGCCTCAAAGAAACAACAGAGAGAGTAAAGGGGCTTCCAGAGTTCGCTGGCTGGAGACAAAAGTGATGGGAAGCAAGTGTTGGATGACCAAGGGTTGTGGATAGTTCAGCAGACTTCGGAGTCAAAATGTTGGACAGCACAACCTGAGTGAGGAAGATGAAAGCACAGGCAGAGAGAGGAGAAGGCTGAGAACAGATCAGTCATCCTTGCTGAAAGACTGGGAGTCATGGAAAGGGTGAGGGACAGGGTAAGATGATAAGGGCTGCTGTTGAAATAAACCATGTGATGTGTCTTAGTGTTAAAATGGGCATTTCTATCATCATCATCATTTCAGTTAATGCAAACCCAAAGTGCTTCTTGTTCTCACCATGACCTGGACACTTCCCAAGCCATAATTTCCACAGCATCAGAGCACCTTGCTATCTCTGAGGTGATTGTCTGTAGACCGATGTGGGTGGTAAGGAATTGCTGTTCTGTTGGTAGTGAACTGAGGCGTAAAGCAGAGGAGTATTTTGCCTGCAGTCCCACTACAGATGGAAGTGGGAGTTGAAGCCGGGGTGTTTAGTCTTCGACTGGTAGCTTAAACTCTGGCTCATTCTCCCTCTGAACTCCTTCCTTGGGTGGGAGCCACCTTGAAATCAAACTTTCCACAGAGAAATAAAGTTTTTTGGCATATTTTAATGGTTTGTTTTGTGATGCTAAAAAAAAAAAATTAAAAAAAATCTTATGTTACTTTTGACATTTTCATTATTGGGAAAAAATTAAACCATAACTCTGTATCTGCTGGTCGATGCAGAGGGACATTGCAGAAGAGACTGAGGGGTGTTGGCGAGAGTGGCCTTTGTTTGATGTGCTCTGGTCTGTTTTCCAGATAAACCGCGAAAGCTGGTGTTCGCTGGAGCCATGTCCCGATCCCTCCCTGCTGGAGCGCAAGCGGACACGGGAGTCTCCAGGTGAGCAGCGTGCTGATGGCAGCTCCAGACCAGCAGCCATTCCCCTCACCTTCTCTATCCTTCTCGTTCTTCTTATTTTTGACATCCCTTGCCTTGATGGGGAAAACACATAAACTGAAGACACGGTGTGATGAATGTGCTGTGAGTCATTGTTAGCACATGGCTGTAGCACTTGACTTGCAGGGAGCTGTGTGGTGTGTCACCTCCTCAGATAATTGTGCATTCAGAGTGCTTCAGTATTTTGATTTTTTTTTTCTCTTTTTTGAATAAACTTCAAAAGTGCGGTGGGGCACACATGGTTTTTACAGACATAGATTTTAGCTAAAAGGTCCAACTTTTAACTAACCCTAATACAAAAAAAAAAAAGTCAGAAATTCAAACTCCTGAATCCATATTTAGACCCGGATCAGTGGCTTGATATTTTTATTTTTTTTTTTCCCCCTCTCTGAAAGTTGCCATGATTCCAGGCTTCAGGAAGCAGGAAGGCTGTTCAGAGCCATCGTTCCCACACCCTGCCCACCGGCCATGCCGAGCTCCCAGCCCTGTATGCTGGCTGGAACTTTCTGGCTCCTCCACTGGGACAGAAAATCTTGTCTGGGCAAGCTTATAAGAGGGGTTGGTGTCCAAGATAAGAAAAGAAGTGTTTTCTTTCATTGGATTAAACATGTTCAAAACAAATAGAGTAATTTATTAGGACTTTGAATAGGGACTTTGCTTGAACTGTTTGTAGAGAGGAGGCTTCTTGCCTTGCTGTCCTTATGAGCAGTGGTCTAACCCAAATCTCCTTCAATTTATCTGAGAGACTTGAAAAAAAAAAAGACTGAGTTTCAATTTTAAATCCAAACCAAATCTTTTGAGAGTGTAGGCTAAGAAGGCCTAGTGTCGGTTACTAACTCAAAGGTTTTATTCTGAGTAGAAGTTCTAGCTCCCATCAAAGTTAAATAAGTGCTTTTTTATTAAAAACAAAAAATTACTCTGTTTAGAAGAATAGTGAATAGCTGTTTCAAGAGTATTTTTACAGGAGAACCTGTGGTATTGCTATGCTTCTTCTTTATTAATTGTATCCTCAAATCCCTTGCCTTTTGGCACTAGGTTTTTATGCTTCAGGCAAGTGTTATTGCACTCCATTAATCTGCAAAACTACATGCACTCATTTGAATTGCCAAATCTGTAATCATGCATTCTTATGGATCAGTATCAGTTGCACACCTATTAGTTATCTGATGCAATATCACACTATAGAAATATTATAACAGTTATGTAATTAGATATCTGTATATACAAATTTATATTAATAATTGTAGTAATAAGTGTCTGTATCACAAGCACAAAGAGGCTGGTTTTTATGTAGATTAATTTTCAGGTTCTGGCCTTTCTAGAAATAATGCCAGTACTGCAGATGCGTACTCCAGCTGCTCTGTGGTGCTGGGCAGTGTAGAGAGGGGAAGAAGAATGTGGCAATACCTAACAGCAGTAAAACCACTAGCTGTTATAATGTGATTAATTTAAAAATACACTACTTGATAAGGAATTAGGCCTTTTTCATGTGCTGAATAATCCTGCTGAAATGGCTTGTAAGGTCAGAGTCCTCAGATCTTAGAAGGTAACTCCGAAAAATGGAGCCTCTCATTTTTCTGTCAGTGCTTTTGAAATCAAGTGCATAGAGGAGTGTAGCAGATGTATAGTTATCAGCATGGAATTGGAGGGCTCAGCCCTGCCTTGGAGGACACAGGGGTTTGGAGAATATACAGGAAGGAGTTGCGTGGAAATTTTCTTCTTTCTTTTTTGTGTAATTTTTTTTTCCCTCTATATTATGTGCAGAAATGCATTCCAATCATCACTGTGTTTTCACCTGAGAGGAACAGAGCAGCACAGCTGTGCTGTAACTCCAGCATGTGCAGTGCACAGGGAGTGTGTGTGTCTGTATGTGTGCCAGGAGTCAGTGTCACAGGCCCTGTGTCACACCAGCACTGTCACCAGGCTGCCAGGGCAGCTGTGGAGATGGAGCTCAGCGTTGTGCAGTGTCTGTGCAGCTCAAAACAAACCCAGCTAACTGTGAAAAAGGGAGAGAAGATACACACATCCCCAAAAGAAAATAAAGGAGGATAGAGGGAAGAGAGGGTTTGGGAATCAGTTTCTCATCACACATGAGCTGAGGTGTGGGGGTGTCCTCATCTCTCTGCTCCTCATCGTGTTTCCCCAGCACTTCATGTCCTCTGTCCCTGGGAGGCTCCAGCAGAGGAGGCTTTGCTGCCTCTTATGATTTATCGTCAGGGTGAGGTATCCATCCATCGGCACATCTGGACTGTCCCTGCTGATTTTCCACTGGAACGTGGCTCAAGCCCCTTTGTTTTTCAGTCTGGGCTGTGGACATGCTCTGCTGGCTGCCAGCTGGATGGCCGGCACCCTGGCCCGTTCCCTTACAGCAGCTCCGGCTTGTCTTTGCTTTTCCCTTCATTTTTTTTTCCCCACTTTCTTCTTCTCTTCCCCCTCCCTTCTCCCCTCAGTGATGGAAAAGCAGTTCAGATTTTCCAGGTTTACCGAAAGGGGAACAGGAGCAGCTGCAGCATCCAATAAGTGTTTTTCCAATTCTCTGTGGTGTGGAAACTCCTCTACGGGGTAATGGGGTTTCCGACTGGCTCTGACTCCCCCTACCCTAAATGGGGACAGCCCCACTGTCAAAGTAATATTATTTTCTCCAGCAGAGGAGTCACTCCCATCAACTGGGATGTGGCTGGAGTGTTTGATAGCTGCTCTCAGGCACAGGTTAAGGATGGGGAAGGAATGACTTCAAGCTTCCCAGACTCGTCCTTGCATTGATGTTTAAGCTTGACATCACCAAGGACAGAGTTAGTCAGATGTAATTTAAGAGTGAACCGATATTTTATTACCCTATCTCCTCTTCAGACAAGAGAGCACATCTTGGATATGTTTAGTTAGGGCAGGTTAAAAAGTAACACCTTTTTTTTTAATTAAAAAGTACTAATATTTAGAAAATATTTTGAGCTGGGAGCAAAGAACGTTCAGGTTTTGCCAAAATTGTCATTAATACTTCTGCCTGAAGACTGAACAGATGAAATTATATACATGCAATTTTTTTGTGCAAATACTTTTCTGTTAAGGGTTTTTGGAAAGGAAGGGTTTTCACAGGGGCCACAGTCTAGGTGTGTGCTGCTGATCAGCCCAATGCAAACAGCTGAAAGTGTTTGAGAAGGAAGAGGTGCAACATGCTTACATTTCAATGTCAGGAGTTACAAAAACTGAGAGTTTTTAAAAAAATCACTTAATTTTTGAATCTTAAGAAAGTGAAGTTTGTCATGGAAGTCACAATAGTGCTTTTTCAGTGAGAAGTGTAGAAGAAGGAATGAAATAATCGACCAAATATGCATTAGAAGACCTTGGCATTTAGAGGGAATTGATTCTTTAATTGAGAAAAAAAGTAAATACAGTCAAGTTATATTTCTACATGTATTAAATACAATCCTAATTTTGCAGTTGTTGCAATCGATGGGAAACATTCCTTTATCCCCTGTGTATGTAGCATATTTATCCTGATACGTAGCATATTTATCAACATCTTAAGCTACAAGTGTTTATGGCTATTTCATGCAGAATTTCAGTTTGCACCGTGTACTTCAATGATGCATTAAAAAGGAGTTTTAAACTCTTGAATACATTGAGAACTCGCATGCATGGTTTTGGGAGATGAGCACAAGTTGTAAAGCTGTTGTTTAAATCCTGGAGTTTACTGAGAGTGTGCAAGCTGGATGTGTGGATGCTACAGAATGGATCAGGTCATAACTCTTTCTGCTTTGCTCCCACAGAATGTGAGAACTTCCTGGAGGATGGGCTGAGTGGTGTCTGTGCCTCGTCACAGGGTGGTCTTAAGAGAGAGTCTGGGAGCGAGTCTGACCTCTTCCCCTTGTCTGGTGATGGGATGGAAGACCTTGTCTTTGGAAAGGTAGGAAAGCCTGGTTGAGATATGGTTAAAAAACCTCTGATCTGATAAACCCATACTGCAAATGGAGATCGTCTTGGTTTCACTGGTGAATTAGAAACCTGGAAACGATTATCCTGGAAAGAAATAGATGGGAAGGATCCGGTCTCCTCCTCAGATGCAGCAACATGAGGGATATATTTACTTGCAGCATAATTCCAAAAACTGTAGCCCCCAGTGTTAAAAAAAATGAAAGTAATTTTGTCTGTCCAAAAGTAAATCAGGCACCAGAGGAACAGTTGAAAGGGTGGATTTTCTTGCAAGGTCATTAGGGATTGCACAGACGATATGAAATCCATCTTTAACCCATGTAACAAAGAGCTTTTCTCCAGCAAAGGATGACCTCTGTGCTGACACCTCTAGATTTATATACTGCAATTCTCAGAGGAACCAGTGTTTTTCTGTAAATTCAGTGTGATAGGAAGGAAACCACTCTTAAATACTTCAGGCCAATTCCAGGGAATAGTTTTGTTGCCTAGGCGACATACCTCTAATGCCTGTTTGTGTGCAAGTAGAATGAAAATGTTTTCAAGTTTGCTTAAAATCAACAGCAGAAGTCATTACTAACCTTAGTCATCCCTGTGCCCTTTGTGCTGCTCGTGGCTGAGGAGGAGGAGTGGGAGAGACCTGAGAGACAGAGTCAGCCTCCTGAGCAGAGGTTTTTGGCATCAGACTTCTGCGTCTGTATCAGAGCAGCCAGAATTTATTCAGAAGGTGATTAGGTTTTTGCTCTTTAAGAATTGTCTTGCTGGTTATTTATACTTTTCTTGCCGTAAGTAGATGATGAAAAAGCACCCAGAAAGAATACAGTGATGCAGAATCAAAGGGATGTGAACCTTCTTTAGAGCAGCTATCACGTTGGTCTCCATCACACACTTTGGTGCAGCTCCAGCTCACCTGTTTGAGGAGATGCAGCTCCTGCTCTGAAAAACTAAACTTTTGGAGTAGCTTTCACACTTACTTTCAGAGAAATATATTTAATAAAACAAAATTCTGTTTGCTGAAATCAAATCAGATGATGGCAAATATTTTCCAGCAGGACGGGAAACACCACAACCCAGGCTAAGTGATCTCATGTTCTATAAATGAACAGTAAAGTCATCCTTAATGCATGTGGTAGGGCACAGAGCTCACCAGCCTCACCCTTTCCCATCTTACTCTCAAAGGGATCCGGGACCATGGATTGTGGGAATATAAGGCTGTTTGTCAGAGCTGTTTGTCTTCAGTTTTCTTGTGCAGAGTGACCAAAATTCCAACAGCCAACTGCCATTTGAGCTTGATTTAATGCTTGTATGGGGATGTATAGGAGAATAGTGCTGTGGGAACACAGCAAATTTTATACTGTACAGAATTTTATCTTTTTTCCCCTTTTATATTTAGAAAGTTACCTTCTCCAAATGCAAGAAAGAAAATTGAAATGTAAAAAGAACAGGTCGTGCAACGTAGCAGGGATGCTGCAGGGAAAGGAAGAGATGGTGGGGAAAGCAGATCTTCAGTTGCCAGTGGAGAGAGGGCAAAGGGAGGAAATTTTTTTCTCTGTAGAAAGAGAATTTCTTAGTTTGGCAGCCTTTGCATTACTCTCATTATGTGGTGGATTGCAGACTTCTTCTGCAAATGGCTTCAAAAGATTCCTGAGTTGAGTTTAGGAAGTTATTCAAAGCTAATCTCAACCTCAGTCGCTTTATTTGTCTTCGTTTGGCTGACTGATTTGATTCCTTGTCTCCTTTCTCAGGATTTATCTGAGTACCTTTTCTACAGTTAAAGTTATTTCTAGGAGGACCAGAGACACTAGTTTAGCATTGTGAGCTTGTTCTTTAATTAAATCTTTGATTTTAGACTACTGAGCCCAGCTGGTAGAAATGCAAATTATACATATTTTTAATAAACACTAAAATAACTGATGGCTGCAATCTTTCTTCTGAAAAATATTGGTTTTGGTGTAGTTGATTAGTTATAAACCTATTAAATAGTACAATTTCCATATCAAATTGGGAAGAGAGAGAATATGTTTATGAACAAAAAGAGGATCTCAAACCTTTTGGTGTCACGGTGATTATTGTTATTACTAGTCCAGTTCTTGTTTCTCCTTTCTGTGGAGCAAGAGTTGAACTTTTGTCTACTAGGGTTGGGTTTTTTATTGTAGAAAAAACTCCTTTGTTAACTGCTTAATACATGAAAGAAAACTGGAGGAAGAACAAGCTGTTGTCTGTCTTTGGGCTACTTCCATAGACATCACTTGAAATTTGTAGATTGTAAGCCCTGGTTCTGTCCCTGGGCCATGAAGCATTTGGGTCTATGGGGTCACAAAATCTGCAGGTACCTTAACCTGTCCCTGGTGCCTGGTGTGTGCTCTGTACCATCTCCTTACCCCTCTCCTGTGCTTGTCTCTTTTCTTTCTGAAGGATGTTGTGCTGAGCTGTGTAACATGAGCTGCCAGGTTCAGGGAGCTTTAGCACTAAAACCTGCCTTGTTTTTTCAGACTTTAGAGGCTGTCACTGAGCCCCAGAAACTGCTTCCAAGTCTATGGCTTAAGCAAAGTGTTTTGTTTTCTCTGCGTCAGCGCTCCATTGCCATGTCCTCGTCATCCTGCTTTTCCTTCTCCATCTCAGACAGCCATCTGGGCAGGCTTTGCAGCACCCTCCTTCTTGAATGATTAATGCTGCATAAGGTCATCTCTCACAATCATCTGGCAACATCCTGGGGTGGAGCCCATATGCTTTGCTCATCTTAACTTTTAACCTGCCACCGAAATCCTGTGTTACTGGGAAGCTTTTTAATGTGCCTCTTGGGAAATGATTCGGGCGAAGGGAGTCCGGAGCCCACAGATCATTTCCAGAGGAAGAGGCTGCAAGTCAGCTTCTTGAATTTTGTTTAATTTCTGCTTTTGTTTTGGTTTACTCAAGGAAATACACAAACACACAAATATTTTGCATTTATTTTTCAGAATTATTGTTTCTTTTACAAAAACAAACAAACACCCCAACAGCCATGCAGAAAATACAAACCTAAAGGATTAAAAGTGGAGGGGAAGGCTCTTCCACTCCAAATCATAAAAGTTATGATAAATAATTGATAGGAGGCCACTATTGAGGTAATTTTAGGGAACCTGGAGCCATAGGCAAATCCAAATAAAAATTGATTCTACTGGATTATATGTCAAGCCAACCAAAGATGTTGGCTCGATACTTTTAGTGTAAAGGTATTCCAAGGAAACTTCAGGATGCCAAGGTTTAATTTTTTTCATCTTCTTTTTAAAAATACTGTAACAACTTTAATGTCTTTGTCACATGGAAGATCAGGTGACAGAGAAAGTTTGTGTCTCAGCACTTTACCTGTTGTCATCACGGCAATGATTGAAAGAGCATTTTAATTCCCCTTATCAAGACCTCCTACAGTGGAGGGATTTAGCTGAAGAAGTTATCTTATACCCTAACCATCCCAGTGATTTCCTTTATCCTTATTCTTGAAGAAGCACATGCTTTCTTTCTCAGAATACTCCCTTTTATGCCTTATCTGATTTTTATTTACTAGCTTCTCACCAAGTACTGTTTCTGAGAGCAAAGAAAATGCCCATTAGCAAATATCTGTAAAAGCTCTTTTCAGCCATGAGGTTTATAGTCATAGTTATGGGTTGAATTTGTTGAGGTGCAATACAGCAAGCCTAAATTGAAGAAAATTAATATTTCTTTAATGTTTCATTTTTCTCGTAGGAAAAGAACACATTAGAGAACCATTTCTGTTCAGCAAATAGTGTCTTTTTTTACTCAAATAGGATTAAAAAGAAATGCATATTTACTGGCCCTTGGCCAAATAGCTGATTTTTTGCAGAGGTGATTACAATATAGATGTTTTAGATGTGTCAGCCACATTCGGCATTTTGCAGACAGAGTCCTCTTTCATATTAACTGTTTTCTTTGTTTAAGAAAAAAAATCATTGAAATGAAAGCAGAATATTTTTAGAGGAATAAGCATGGGCCACAAGTTCAAGGGAATTGTTTATTATGTTCTGTCATCAGTCTGATGCTCAAGGTAAAGTTAAAAGGGACCACATTTATTTCCCTTTTTTTCAGATATCTCCTTGAACTGCTTTTTACGATAGCAGCCCTAAATCTTCCTTGTTAGAGAAGTGGGTTTTATTCTCCATTTTTAACTGGAGCAGTATTTTCATCTGGGAAATAAAAATTCCTCCTTTTTTACTCTGATTGCTCCGTAAATAATTTGGTGTTCTGCACTATTGTTGCTGGATTTGCATGCAAGTTGAGTGTTTCCAAACCATCCTATACTTTGCACAGTCTTCTCCTCTCCTGCTGTGCTGCCCCAGTCATAGAGTCCTAGAAAGGTTTAGGTTGAAAGGGACCTGAAAGATGATCTGGTTCTAACCCCCTGCCATGGACAGGGAACCTTCCACTAGACCAGGTTGTTCAAAGTCCCCTCCAGCCTGACCTAATGTCTGACAGTATTTTCTTGTCTCATAGAAGTGAAGCAGACTGTTTTCTCTACTGCAGGAGTATTATCCACATAATGACTACTTGATTGGTCTGTATTTAAGCAATTCAGGGAGCTCTCATCATGACTCACACGACTATCAGATTATCTTGAATAATGCCAAACGACATCAAAACCTTCACAGGCCATCCATTTCAGTTCCCTTTTCTTTTAACCTACACTCAAATCTGTCAAATCCAATGGTTTAGAGAATAGAGTTTACAGAAATTCCCCATTAATATTTGACATACCTTACCATGAAATGAATGTTCGGGAGGGGCATGTATTTTTAGTGTGTGTTTTTTAATATTTGTGTTTAGAAGCTATATTGTTCTTTGGTGTTGTCCTGTGGATGCTGTCTTTCTTTTTTCTCTGTTTCCCTTTGATGTATATAAGAAGGGAAATAGTGTGACAGCATTTATTTAAACCAACTTAGGAGCATAACTGTGTGTTAAAATTGTAAGAATAAAAATAAACTTCTAAGAATAAAAAATAGCTAAGCATGAAACAGGTCTTCCCTCTAAATAGTGAAATATTTGATTAGAACATTTTTTGAACATCCCAGTTTCTTTTTATTCAGTTAAATAAAATGTTTTTAGCTTACAATGTGTGCTCATCAAAAAGAGCACAGAAAAGCAAAAGTCTCTGGAGTGTTTAACACTGCTGGAGTTGAATGAAGTCAGTGGGGTGGGATCCAGGGTCAGGACTTCCGTGAGACAGCACTGCTGTTCATCCTGCCCTCTGTGGGTTCTGATGTCCATCTCTCCCTTCTGAGAACGGGATTTTGCAGCCCACAGTCTTCTGCCAAATGAGGACTGACAGCCTGCAGCTCCTCCAGTGCTCAGCTTCTGCCCAGCCCTCTGGGCCCACTGCTTGAGGACAATTACCTGCTGTGGCTTTGCTGAATAGTCTGTTGCACATGGCCTGACAGAGCATTCTGACTGTTATTATTTTAAATGATACAGCACAGGGCTCTGCAGGAGGATAAATTGAAACTTCCCACATCGGTCCCTCAGGGCAAACACCATTTCAGACTGGAGGTGATGTCAGAGAGATGCTTGTGTTTTTTATGTTAGCCACGGGGAATGCAGAATGCACACGGGCTCTTCTCAGGCTGTATGGTCAGCGTGTGGCCTTGGGCCAAAGAGAACCAATTTGGCTTCTACATACTGTTTTTTGAGCAAACTAAACCCAAAAATTGCAGTATGACTCGAGACCTGTAATACAGGGTGGCTGATCCTGTAGAATATTTTTTTTTAATTACAGTTGGATTTGAAAAATACTGCAAACCCTGGTATTAACTTTCTGCTTAATGGAAAGTAGCAGGGGACAGGGATTTAAACTTTTATTTTTTTTCTGTCTGTTTTTTGCTAGTGAGTAATTGTCCCTTTTGTGCTGCATGATGCAGTAGAACAGTGCATTGGCCTTGAGCTCTACAAGCCAATCCCGGTTTCACAGGAGAGGCTGGAGTTTGTCATCGGGAGTTGTTGATGACCCAGTTCCCCATTACTCGCTCTCAGTAAACTTTTGGCAGTTTTATGGCACCTTGATCAATAACAGGTTTAGCCAGAAATGGTGAGAGGAACAGGATTTGTTGTACGGGATGAAACATGGAATTGAGAAGAGGAAGGCAGGCAGAGGACCTGAGATAGGAGCCCAGGGTTATGGCAGCCAAGGGTGGAAGAGATCACCCTGCAGAGCATTTGACCCTCTTTGGAAACCAAAGCAAAAAGTCTCGGTTCTGTGATGGTTAATTTGCCTTAAGCTATTAACTAAGAAATCTCTCAGCTCGTGTGAAATATAAAATATTTACATTTATTTAAAATGCTAAATGTATTCACTTCATTGGAAGTGTTCAAGGTCAGGTTGGATGGGACTTTGAGCAACCTATCTAGTGAGCGATGTCCCTGCCCATGGCAAGGGTGTTGGACTAGCTGATCTTTTAAGGCCCCTTCCAACTGAAACCAGTCTATGATTCTACTCTAATATATTTTTAATTTTTCTTACCCACAGCAGCCTGAAGAGGAGCAGTCTGCATGTGATGTCACCAGCTCCAGTTCCTCTGCAGATGACACCATGTCCCTGGAGAGGAACTCATCCCTGGGCAGCGACACATCCCTTCCCTTCCCACCAACTGTGAACTTTGCCCAGCCCAAGGACAGGCACAGCCTGGATGGCAGCTGCACCAACATGGTGGCCTCTGAGGGAGGAGAGAAGGAGGAGGAGCTGGACAGTATCACAGATGTGCCCACTCATTCCTCTGTCTTACGCAACTCCATGCGACCACTGTCTCCTTTCCGTCGGCACAGCTGGGGACCGGGGAAGAATGCCACCAACGAAGCAGAAATAAACCAGAGGAGGTGAGTGTAGGGCTGCTTTGATTTACTTTACACCCATTCATGCACATTTATTTCAGCTTTTGGCTTGGCATGATAAAACAGAAGAGTGCGGACATCGCTTCTGATTATTCTTTTTCACTCCAAGGGTTGAAGACAATCTCCTAACATATGTTTGTTTGTTTTTCTTAAATTAACTTTCAGGATTCAGGGTTAAAGTACTTAATACCTACAGTATGCTTGAGGTTTTCAGAGTAAATGGAATTACCTTGGGACAGGTTTTCCATTAGAACTGTCATCACCCCTTTCTATATGAAGGGCTTTGCTAAGGGAATTATTGGAGTGTTAAATCTTGTTGATCACAAAATAAACATGGCCATTATTGCTCTGATTGTATTAAGACATAGAACAGGCTTTTAAAAAATGGTGTGGAGACTCTTCTTAGTGGTGAGGTGGGTCATCCCTGTTTCACAGAGTTGGTTCCACCTCAGTCTGTCATGGACAGTAAGTCCAACTTAACTCATCACCAATGCCCCTGGTGGTGTCCGAGAAGATTCAAAAGGGTAGTTTTCCCAGTTGTTCTTTCAGAAGAAGCAAGAGGGAGAGGTGTAACAGCCACGTGAGTATGTAAATTCTGGTGCCAAGTGACTGGGGGAGAAAAATTTGCTCAGTCCCCCTTCTCAGTGGGGAAGATGAAGTAAAGGAAGATGCAGACCAAGAAGCAGTAATTGGTGTAAGGTTCCCTGCCATACTCTGTTCAGCATCGGGGCTGCTGGACACTTGGGGTCAAGCCCTGCATGTTCTGAATCCAGTGGAGGTTTGGCCAGTGTTTTAGTGTGCTTTAATGCTTTCAGAGCATTAAAACTGAGTTGTTTTAGGAGGGCCAGGTTCCTCCCTGCAGCTCACTGAGGCTGCAGGCCCCGGCGTGCAGTGCAGTGCTGCTCTCTGTCTGCCTGCTGCCGTCCTCATGGCCTCAGGTCTGCTCTTAACAGAAAGGGAGTCTTTGCATTTGGTGATGGATGGCATTAAATTAAAACTGGCCACTCACAACTGGTAAATTTTTACTGACCTGTTTGGGTAATCCAGGGAGAGGCAGCAGCCTCCCATCAGGAATGTGTGCATCCTTTACACATTAGGAGCGGTGGGTGTCAGTAAGGGAATATTGTTATACCCTTCAGGTTTTAAAGTCAAGGTTGAAAAACATTCAGGACCCTCTGAGTAACATAGGATGAAAGATTTATTATTACTGTTTTCTACCACTGTCACCTTTTTTTTGGGCTTCATTCTTGGTACTCAGGTACTATTTACATAAATTAAGTAATACTTGTCTTTTTAAAACTACAAAAGAGTCAGCATATGACATACCTGCAGGTTTATGACAGAATGAGTCCATAAGCTTTTAAACTCATTTGCAGAGATTTATTTTTAAGTGTAGGACTTGTTGCATAAGGATTTCTGGTGGTAATAAACTGCATAGCTGGCAATCACTGCTAACACTGAACAGATGGGGTTAAATTCTGCTCAGATTTGGAGGCTGTTTCTGATAAGGGAAAATACATTCATTGTAAATGTAAGAAAATCTGAGTTAAAGGAACAGTAATCGTTCTCTTATGTTCTCAGATACAGCCGTGGCTACATAAGGATAGCTGTCACATAGGATAATTAAAAAAGAAAAGCTGGGTGGGTCTATGGTGCCGATTTGGTTCCTGTTTGGTTTTATGCTTCTGTTAGAAAGGAATTTGGATTATTTGGTTTGTTGTTTTCTTATTTTCCTTGTTCTTTTCATATGAGGCTGTTGTGATGTTGAGACTCTGGTTGCTTAGTGAACAACAACAAATATTGAGGAAGTGAAGCACAAAGAAGTGACTTTCATAGAAATCAGTTAAATTTGGAGTGTTTCCTTATTAATTTATTTCATATGCAGTAGATACTTTTTCATTTAATGGGAAAAAAGCCTTATTGTAATTTGCCTTTTGCAAATCTTTAAAGTGAAGTAACGTAGAGCACAAGCCTAAGGTTTGTCCTACTGATGTGCTGGATCTGTGCTGCTCCCAGCACCCACCACACTCCCTCCCCTCCCATGGGCACCCATGGCACTTCTCTGCTCTGTAGGTGAGCAGGGTGCACTCACTAAATGAGCAGAAATTAACCAAATAAAGTGTAATTGCCACCAAAACCAGACCAAGGATTAGAACTGGGCTGTGGAGCCAGGAAGAGGTGTCTGTCACTGATGGTGGCAGGCTGCACCATCAGTTGAACTCTAAGAAGTGCCTCCTGCCCCAGCAAAGGACTTGCAGCCTGGTCCAGCTCCCATCCACACCAAAACCAGTCTTTCCCCTCATGACGAATATGTAGCTAAGTCAAGTTTAAACAGAGCTCCTGATACAGGACCCAAAAAACCTACAAGAAAAAATCAGTCTTTTTTAGGATTTTACCTGTTGTAAGAGGGACAAGTGTAAAAGTTTGTTCACAGAAAAGATCTGAAGAAAAGGTAATATTCTTAAATGAAATCTGAAAAGATGCTCAGTTCCCCTCTACTTCCCCTCTTTCCTCAAATGAACTTCACAGATAATCCTCATGTCTACATTTTGCTATTAAAAACACAAAGAAAACCAACAAGGCTGCCACAAAAGGATGTTCATCCTTCAGTTAATTCCTGACATTCATAGGGGATTTGAAATGCCTGTCTTTCAACAATGCTGCAGTGTGTTTAACGTTCCGGCCAAGGGACGAAACGCCGCTGTTTTCCACTGGTGGATTAAGCACTGCAGAACTGGAGCTGGTGTTAATCACTGTTGCTAACAGCTTCTGTCAAAGAGGTTGGCCTTATCTAAACTTTAAACTGACCTGGCTTTGGCAGCAGCAAAGTTGCAGCATGGTCAATACCTGTGCAACCTTCTCTCTGTACAAAATGCAACAACTGAAACCCAGATTTATTTGTAATAGAGAGGAGGAATACAGAGACTCATTACTTCCTTTAGCATTTCATTTTGTGTTTTCCCTGTATGTCCATTTCCTCTGTTTGTGTATCAGGGATATTAATCCCTTAGCTGCCATTTGTTCATTTTTTTTCCATTCAAGCTGCTGACCACTCTCCATGATTCATTTTCAGTTCAATGCGAGTTCTGGGGGATGGTATAAAGAAGCCTCCCATTCATAGGAGAAGGTACAAAGCCAACTAATGTAACTAACTGTTTTGCCTTTGTATGTCTACTAACTCCATATTCTCATGTCAGTAAACCTGTAGTACCTCTGGAAGTGTTGGCATTAGAGGTGTGCATCCCGCTTGGCTGCTTTCCCTCTCCAGTCTGACCCAGAGCAGTTTTTCTGCCCCACAGAGCACATGCCCAAGCCATTTTCTCCAGGATGACATGTTAATAACTTGGAGAAATCTCAGATATCATTTAGTTGGCCTTTGCTATGTGTAAGATTTGGAGTTAAGATGATTGTTTACCTGGGAGCATGTGTGTGATTTAGATTTAAAGTACATCAGGGACTCCTGGCAAGACTTGCAGAAGGGGCACGTGGGGAGGGAATGGATCAGACACAATCTCACATTTTTGGAGAACGCTCTGCAGATCTGCAGCTGGTTGAATTAAATGGCTTTAATTTTGCTCTTTTTATGTTTTTTATAACCATCTTCCTAAAAAAAAAAAGGTAGTAAGATGTGTTTTTCTTTTCCATGCGTTTTTCTTCTCTATAGCAAACTTTCATGTTTTTTCAGATCCTCTTCCATGAGGAAAATGCAGATAGGCATTTTCACTCACGTAACCTTTGCATTGTCTATTAATATATAAAACAGGACACAGTTTTTGACACAGCAGATGTGTACTGACCACACTTAGACATTTTAGGCTAAAGAAAATATAGCAGTTTAACCTTTCCTCTTCAGTGGTTCAACCTCTTCTCATCTCCCACAACCTACTACCTCTCCTCCTGTGGCAGGTTAACTCAGTATTTCCCCTCCCTTGAAATAGATGGCGTGATGTGTGTGCAAACAAACTACCACATTTCCACATGTGAAGAAGATGTTACAGTGATACTACGACCAAAAAAATCCCTGTGCCTTATCATGTGTCAGCATAAATGAAGCCCTATGAGCAGTGACGTACAGTTCAGGAGAGAGCTCTTAAAAAAGAACACGCTTTTTTTATTTCTAAGAAGCCACTCTATTTGCATCAGTGTGTTCTGGAGGAAGCCGTGCAGTGCTCATCTTCTCAGCTCATGCAAATGTACATCTCTTTATCAGTCATCTCTTATGGCTCCTCTGTAGGAGTTAGATTAGTTTTTAGGGTCAAAATATCTTGAAACACTGAGTTTACATGTAGAATGGAGGCAATGTGTGTCTCAAATAGGCAACCTAAAATCTCTAGTCTTACCTGAAATGTGTGGCAGTTCTTTCATAAGCACCCTCTCTCTTTTTCTGGCCTCCTAACCATTTTGATATCATCCTCTCTAACCCTGCTTGCAGAGCAGCAGCCTGAAATGGATTCCAACAGTTTATGCTCTCCCACAAGGCTGATGTAGGTAACAGCTCGTCCCCCTTCCCCAAGTTGTCTTCTGCAGAGGCGTTTTTTATGCTCTGCATTGATCTTGTTTGTTTTTTATAGTGTTGCCAACAGATTGTGGGTGGCTCCCCAGCAGGGCTGTGATTCTGCAAGAGTGCTTTCCACAGCCCTTGCCAAAAGGTCTCTTTCCTTCTTTGGGATCTTACACCACCTTCAAACTTCCTCCTGCATAAATATGGCTCCTCTTCTTCCTTCCCTCTACTCTTCTACTTCTCTTCCCTGCAGTTTTAGCACTTGGGTGTATCCTCACCCAATTAACATCTTGTATAAAACAGGTAGCAGTTATTTGAACTCCACCAATGAACACAAGTGTCAAACCCTTACAGAATGTTTCTGGTGTTGTGTGTGGACACTATATGAAGACTTGGCATGACATGATGCAGTCAGTGGGTTTAAACCTTCCTCTGTGCCCTCGGAGGCTCGCACAGTTCCCAGCCTGGGGATGCTTAGACTTGTTTTGCCCTTTTTGTAGGCTCCTGTTCTGGAGCAAAGCATTCTCTGGCCATGTCCTCTCCTTGCATGTATCACAGGCCAGGGGCTGGGAGCAGAACTTGTGCAGTGCTGCTCTGGCAGATCTGTGCTGATGCAAAATTCCCTTCAGACGATGTATGTTTCCTGGACAGCTTTTCCAGGATTTAGGGATCATTTATATGTCATAGCTGACAGGAAGATGGATTTCTCTGTGTCTGCAAAACCTGCAATTGGGCCATGAGCTGACAGAGAAAAAATAACAAAAGCAGTGTTTAAAATAACAACCAAAATATTTGCATACTGTATTTGCATTTCTTATGTCTTTCATGGTGCAACTTTGAGACTCTTTTGGGGTATGGGAGCTGAAAGGTTTTCTAGTCAGAAGCACTCTTGATTTAATCCCAAGTTAATAGTAAGACAAGCCTGTTTTTTCCTTCCAGCCTCTTTCAATTACTTGCTGTGCAGCATTTAAGAACGTGTCTCTCTCTCCTTATTTTTCCCAAGCGTAGGTTCCTGAGGTTGTTAATACTTCTCTGGAGGGGACTTAAACTATTAAATATCTATAAGGGATTCTTTTTCTGATTTGAGGATGAGAGTTACCAGAAAAATACTAATCATTACTAACACAATGGCTGTGTGTGATTACTTGTGCAGAATTGGCTTTGGTATGTTTCAGTCATGTTGTTCCCAAAAAACTTCACTCCCCACAAGGAGTGATTTCTCCAGTACATTGTACACCAATGGGAGTTTGGGGGAAGCATGGGCTGTCCTGCTACCTGTGTTGTGGTAACCTCAGGCATTTGGTGCACTCTGGTGTGTTTGTGCAACCAGGCATATGCTACTGCATTATTTCTGAGTTGAATGGTTGGGGTTCTTTTCAAAATATGTAAGAGTGAGAGTCTTTTACCATTCCCCTGTTTCATAACAATCCAATAATCACTACCCTTTTCCTTTCTTTGCCTCTTTTGATGTTCCTAGTTTGAGCTGGTGTCCCTCAGGCGTACAATACCTTGCCATGGGTCCTGACTTTACTTGTAGAAGGTATGGTATGAATAAATGTGCAGCAGCAAAGGAGCACTGCAAGCACCCTGTTGTCAGCTTTTCGTGCATCCCACCGCTGCTCTGGCTGAAGCGTGCACGTGTTTGTTTGCTTGGTTTGCTTTTTCAGCCATTAGTCTTGGGATCTTCTGAGCTGGGGTGCAGGTGAAGGTGGTGGCTGCTTTTCACTGGCCTCCAGCTTTAAAGAAGCTGCACTGTTGGGTTGAGCTGCTCTGCTCTGTGATGACTTTAAGCCATGTTTGTTCCGCAGCAATGATCATAATGATAATTGTGTCAGCCAGAGAATCAGAACAAGATTAAATATGATTCAACACTGCTCTGTTCCAGATAAATCTCATAAAGGATTTAAGTTCATACAAACTTATTCTTTGTAAATTGAAAGATCTGTTTTTTTCTTTAAAGAGGCTAATCATGTAAAACCCTCTGTGAAAAATCAATCTGATCACCTCAGATGAAAATTTCCCAGGCATTTAAAGATTGCATCTTCTGCAGAAAGTCCCAGAGTTGAGATTGGTGTTTGCAGGTCACCTCTTTACACGTAATATTGCTTGGAAGCCAGTCCCCCAGATTTTATAGCTTTTTTGCATTTTCTCTGGCTGTTCTTGCTGGTTGTGGGTAGAAGAATTGAACTCTTTTTCTGAAGAGTAGATATTGAGAAAAAAGTTAATCTGTCCTTCCTATTACAGATTTAATTACGTATGGTCTATGTACTTCAATCAGCAAATTACAAAACAGTATCACCCACTGATAACTATTTCATGGGGTAATATTTGCAGCTTTTAGCTGGTTTTGTCACAAGTACATAATTTTTTTCTGCACCGTGTACCATCACTGTTACCACCTTAGAATGTAAGAAAAAAATATTCTTCTGTTCTAAATAATCAGTAGAAATGGGACTGATTTCTCTCTACAGGTGCTTTAGAATAAACTTTTTAGTGCCTGCTATAAATACACATTGATGAGTTGCAATCTTAAAGCAGATTAAATTATGAATGCTTCAACCAGCCTTTTTTTCTCATTAATTACCATGAAAAAAGTCTTTTGAATATCCTGAATCTTCTTATTCAATGTTTATTGCAATTTTTGCTTTCAAGGTGCATATTTATCAGCCACTTAATGCTTCTAAGGGACTCCAGAACATTAATCACTACTCTGCAAGTCTACCTGAATTTAAAACTGCTCTGTTTGTTTAAATCATCTGTACAGTCTAGAGTGTGTTTTCCCTTTTGTTTGTTTACATGTCAGCTTGTTGGCCACTTAGATATCATGATTAGCCTCAGGTTGGGATATAAATCCGAGGCAGACCTTGGAGGACTTAGTGAGTATCAAACATCAGCAATGGAATTGTGCTCGTGTACTGAGAGGTGAATCTGTGAAGCTTGCACATGATCCCACAGTGGCATTTCAGTGGGTTTGTTGATGCTCAGGCCTGAAGAGCATGAGGGTCAGAAGCAGAATACTAGGTCAAGATTTATCAGATTAAATAGTCCTATGTGAAAGAGGGGGTGACAACATTTATTGAATTCAAAAAAAAGATGACAGAAAAGGTAGAAAAGAAACCGGCTTTGGCAGAAAGAAGGACATTATCAGTGCCAAAGCTTTGTGCAGTGGCAAGTTTTAAAATAGATGCAGTGGCTGCAGAGATAAATGTTACAGCAGCTGATGTGGCTGCTAGGAGGGGTGTTGGTCCAGGACAGGCAGCACTGTGCTATACAAGGTAGTTTAATTTGGGTGGCTTTATTCCAAGGGAGAGCCCAATAAAAAGCTAGAAAAAAAATATGTGGAAATACCAAAATCATTAGAAGGGATGTTTCTGGATTTTCCTGTGCACCACTCAAGAAGAACAGAAAAAAAGCAGTAGGAAAGGCTATTGACCAGGAGTTTGAATGGTCATTCAAGCAACTACTGTGTCTCATTAGAGGCACAAAGGTGCTGCAGTTTGCTCTGAAGAAAACAGAAATAACATGTTGACCAGTAACATCTGCATTTCCCTGCACAGTTCAGTTAGTGACTGCTGTGTGTTTTACACGTGAAGGTGCTCTGTGCTGAAAGACACAGGTCTCCAGGAGTTTGTCAGCATCTAACCTCTGTGCTTTCTCTTTAGTTACAGCCTAGAAGGCCTTGCTGGAGACTCTGGTGAGAACAAGAAGCCCTCTACAAACTTGGAGGGTTCTTCCCTGAGCTCCAAAGACCTCAGGCGGAGTCCACTTGCCAGCAATCAGTGTGGGTCCCTGGTCCTGCTCACTGAAGAGCAAGGAGAAATCAGAGACTACAGTCACCAGGTAAAACTGTCCAGCTATTGTTAGATGTCAGCAAAATGCTACATCAGCATTTTAAAAGTAATTTTCCCAAGTGGCAGTCTCACAAAGCTTCCACCCTATATGTGTATGTAAAAAAATTAAAAATCTTCCATCTTTAACATGGAGGAATCTCCATCTGTGTTAACTTTGCTATTTGGTTCTTTGGTTGATGGGCAAAGTCTTAGGGTAAGAACAAGAAACCTCGCAGTTTTCTTCCACCAATTGCATGAGTAATTATGGAAAAGTTATTTAATTTTTAGCATGGATATAGTGATTTTATCAATCAAAGGTGTTGATTGAATGAAAAATTGCTTCTGCAATTAATGCTTATGCTGCCTTTTGCAGTCCTGAAATACACACTTATCAAGTATTGATTTATCTGCTAAAGTTTTCAGGTTTATTTTTGTATCACAGGAGGAAAATAAACTTTTTTTTCTTTCATAGGTTTAATCAGAAAAAAAAGTTTTATTAAAGTAAAATGGTAATTGCATATTAAGAAAATATGAAGTAACCTCTCTGGAACAGAAGTCTATGATAGCTGTTAAGGACAGATGAGCCACAATATTATGAGACTCCTTGTTAATTGTTGTTAAAGAAGTAATTATTCTTTTAAATACTATAAATACCCTGGATTTTTGAGTTGGAACTTTCAGCCATAGTATTTTCTGGGTTCATGTCAGAATCATTAACCATCCAGTCTGCTTGCCTCATAAAGTCACTGCTGTACATAAAGGCAGTAAATGGGTCTTACAGGATCTGGCCTGTCGAGCTGTAATCCTACAACTCTCAGGTCTTCTTTTGCTTTGGGGAATGGCATTTTTGGGGTACGCACTGCTAAGCATCAGATTTCTTTTACCATGTTGAACCACAGTCAAGTTATGCCGAGGAATTGGAGTCACAACAGTAATTTCAGTGGCCGTCAGACAGTTAACAATATTTGTCTTGTAATACCTTGCAAGAAAATCAAGCAACCAGAGTCTCTCTGTTGCATAATTAGTTGTCTTACACTTAAAAGACAAAACAAAATGCTGCATTTCACCTGTGCAACACTGATTACATTTTTTGCAGTACTTGACTTTCTCACCTGTTATTGTGGGATTGTTTAAATTTTTCACTGTTTCAAAGTGAGAATTTCAGTAAACATGAACACTGAACTGGGATCTGAAGTTGGGATGGTTCTGTCGTTCTTTACATGATTACTGAGTGTGGTTCTTTTCTGTCCTGCAGGCGCGTCAGACATCGCAGCCACAAGGATTTAATTTCTGTTCTTCTGCTGCTTCATCTCCACTGACCAAATCCATGTCTCTAATGTCAATTAGCAAGCCAGTGCTCGACAGTGAGTAACACAGTGTTCCCTTATCCATGCTATCATCTGTATTATTGAGTATATCCTGCTACCTTCCCAAGGCAGAATGTGCTAGTAGCTGCTCTTGCTCTCCTATATTATGTGAAATATGTTTCACTGCTGAATGGAATTGTGGGTGGAAAGGCAGAACTCAGTTTAGTTTAGTTTTTCCCAATGTATCCTTAGTATTTCTTTGCGTTAGGTTTCTTTTGTTTTTTTTTTCTTAAATTAGACTACTGGTACAAATTGAGTTCATTATTTAAAAAAAAAAAAAAAGGGTTTAATTTTACATCCTTTCAGAGTTTCTTCCATTGATGTCAGGCAAATTCCACGTGAGATCTTATTTCCCTACATCTAGATTTTTGAAAGTTGATATATGGAAACTTGAGAATCCATGTTTTGGTCTCCTTTGAGTAGTTTGTTGCTCTTCATTTTGAGTTAAATATTTTGGAGCAGTTGGGTGTAATTTATTGAGTCTCATTCCTGAAGAAAATAATAAAAGATGATTCTATGAAATTTTCCAGTTTAGCTTAATTGAAGTGATAACAAGCACTTAATTTTGCAACTTGACTGAATTGATTCTTTCAGCTGAAAAAGTCATTCAGAAGGCTGCAGCTGGATGTGCTTAGAAAGGGCTGAGTTACACATGTTTTCATTTTATTAATTCCCAGCCAGAAACCAAACTGACATCTTAGCTCACGTCTTGTCAATTAGTGATGGTCTCTGATCTTTCCTCTTTATTAACGTACTTCTTCCTTGCAAAGCTGAACAAGGCAAAGGTGCTTTAAGAAAGGTGTTTTCGTGGAGAAGGCTTGCTGCTGGAAGCTCACAGGGATTATGCTTTGTAGGAGTAATTTTAAAATCCTTCACCATGATTATTCCATGATTAATAAGAATGTGGCCTAGCGGATGTGTCCCCCAGCAACGGTAACCAAAACATGGGCAGCTCTGTCCCACCCAAGGCCAGATCCTGCCTTCCCGCTTCCCTCCCTGGGCTGAAGGCCTTCATTGTTGTTTTTTGGAGCAACCAATTTATTGGCATTGCACCCAACCGCTGACCAGACACCATAAATAGCCCTGTTTGCTCCCCAAAAACGCACTGTTGGTGGCTGAGGGAGCCTGGACGGCTGAGGTTCATCCCCCTCTCCCTGGACACTTTCCTTCAGGCCCACGGTGGGGGTTTGTGACAGTGGGGGATTTGTGCCTCCATCTTGGAACTGGACAACTTGCTGCCTTTCTGCTCCTCTCTGTCCTATGACCTACGTTAAAAATGCCATGGAGGCCTGAGAGCTGGTGGTAGGCAGGTTTGATTATTCCATCTTCTTCTAGAGCCAGCCTGGGCACCATGATCCCATGGAGACAAAAGGAAAAGAGAAGATGTAGTAAGCTCTCCAGAGGGGCTGTGGAAGAAATAGCAGGATTAATCTTCTGCTTTGAGGCAGACATCTGTGAGTTTGGGATGCTGAGCTTAAAAATTACAAACACTCCTGTGAGCTTTATTTTCTCAGTCATTAATTTGTGATTTCTCAGAAGAGCCTCATTTTTATAGGAACGTGGTTTTGAAAATCAATGCATTTGAGGGGTTGATGTAAGCATCCAAAAGGAATAATCACTTTGAAAATTCAGATCATGGATTCTCATCCCAGTCCTGACTCTTTCTTGACTTCAGAAACTTCAGTAAATCGCCCAGGGAAGGGATGCCACATCTCTGGATGTGTTCAAAGCCAGGCTGGATGGGCTTTGAGCAACCCAGTCTAGTGGAAGATGCCCCTACCCTTGGCAGGGGGATTGGATCTTTAAGGTCCCTTCCAACTCAAACCAGTCTATGATTCTATGATTTTACTTCATTCTTCCTCAGTCACTTTGAAAGAAGAAAAGTGTTGCTTGAATTGTGACCGTATGACAGGTGAAGTAGCTTTAGTGCCTTTTAGAAGGTCTCAGTGTATAAACTTCTTGTATCACTGGGGTTTGACATTCCTGTTACTTCAGCAGAGCACTTCAGAGTTGTACAAGAGTAAAAATTGATTTCATGGAAATAATTTTGCATAATTTTGTGGTAGGTGTTAAAAAAATAAAAAAACCCAAACATCTGATCCCTGCAACTGTGTCTGAATAAGAAAGCAACGTGCTTTGCACAAAAACTTTAAAAACTAAATCCAAATTAATAATACATGGAGGAATTTCTCTTATTTTTACCATTTATTGTCACATGTGCTGAGGCAGGAGCAGTTTCCAAGACTGTATTTCTATCCCACACTCCCATCTGATTTCTCAGATGTTCCAAGAGCTGTTGTGGCCATTCACAACTGTTAATCCTTCAGCATTTTATAGAAGGAGGTCACAAGAGCTCTTGGCTGGAGTGCTTGGAAGAATGCTTTCGGCCTTGGAATAGCAAATTTCCAGTGTGGAGCACTGTTATAAAGCCAGAAATTGCTATAAATAAAACCACTGAAATGGAAGTAGAATTGTGCTGGAGAAGGTGGTTCAATTTACAGTGAAGTATTATTGTTCATCTTGACTTTTAGTCTAAATAGACAGTAGACTACAGAAGAAAAAGCAGTGTTGCCTAATCATGTTCTTCAGGTCTGGGACACTAGAACAACTCCTTTGAAAGGCAGTCTAAACAAAATTAATGCATCAGTCTTGCTAAGAATTCTTCAATTTAAATGCCTTATATTGAGTCCCTCTAGGGTTGTTCTGCTTATGTTGGAAAAGTGTGCACATTCTAGTCAAATTGCCTCTGGACCATTGGCATTTATGATTAATGGCTGAAGGAAAATTTCTGGGGAGTTTGCTTTGCATTGCTTGCATTGCATTGGATATTCCTCGGACAGTTTTTTTATATTCTGAATTCAGTATTGGCATATGGTATCAGCAGTGCAAAAAATTCTCATTGTGTGTGGCTGAAAGGACATGTTTTATTCAAAGAGAGCAATAATTGCTTCTTCTGTCTCTTGGAAGTTTAATGCTGATAAAGTCTTTAGCCTGTTTTCCCTGTTGTGCAAGTGAATTGATTTATCCGTGGAATGACTTAAAAGTGACTGAATATATGCACTGAAGATGTTTAATGTAGATGCTTAAGTAGGACCCTTAGGTCAGATCTGTCTCAAGGGCAGAGTTTCTCCAACGCTGTCCCAGTCATGTTTCCCAAGGACACACTGATGCCCCATGTCAGTGATGGGTATCCAGCAATCAGGTCACAGCTCAGAGGTTTCCACCTGCACTGGTATGAAGAAAAAGTTTGCAAAATACAGCCCTGCGGAATCCCACTTTCAGTGAAGAGTGACAGTCTGGCTCCTGCATCTCTTTTTGGAGAAGAGTGTACTTACAAAGAATTGTTGCAAAGCTGCTGCTATGCAAGGTTTTGCTTTTAAAAATAAATTGTGGGAGATTTGATGTCACAGACTGATTGCTGAGTTTGGCACTGTGTTTGGTAGGCATCTTTCAGACAAGGACAGAAGAGGGTGCAGAGGAGCTTTTCTCATGTTTAGGCAGTTTCTTTAAAACAAGGGCTCTGAGTTTTAGAAGGCAGCAGAAGACATGGTTGTTTTTTCTGTTTTGTTTTGGAAGAAAAGAGAGGAAGCTTAAGTGTCTCCTCTTAAAAGCTGGAAATTTTGAAGGGTGTAACATTATCAAAATTTGGGGATTTTTTTTTAGAGATAGAAGTGGCAAGAACTTTCCCAGATAGATTATGTCAGCACTTCAGATAAACTGTCCTTGCTAATATCTGGCAGCTTTGCCTGTGTCATTTAACTGTAGAAGGCACCTTCAGACAAATATCTTGAGTTGTTCTAATTTGATTCCCTGGCAGTTCTTTCGGTGAAGCTGATGCCCCTTGTCCAGAGGCCCGCTTTACTGTTGGTATTCTGTTTGGGAAAATAACTGTTTACATATAAGTTTTCATTAAGAGATCCTATAAAAAAAATATCAGCAAAAATAGGGAAAACCTTGAACCTCAAGCTATGCATGCAGTGAGACCTGCGTCCTCTGAAACCTGCACCTTCTGGAGTTTGCATGTTCTCAATTCTTTGTTTCTTGTGCCTTTTCTGGAGCCAGCTGCTTTGCAGACATTTCCTTTGCTTTCATTTTAGTTTGCTTTGGCCGCTTTCCTCTCCTTTTTATTATTAAATGCATTTTCAAGCATGCTCTAATGTCTGCTGTTAACCCACTTCTCAGCCCAGGGCCGGACTCGACCATCGAGACGAATCTCCTTCTCCTTCAGCATCTCTCCACTCATTCCTAAGTCTAAAACTCTCTTTTCTATTGGCTCTTCTTCCAGTGATGAGGAGGAGGAGGAGTTGGATAGTAAGTAATCGTTTTCTGTGCGTTGCAGCCATTATGGGTGGAAACAAAGGGAAATCTTGTTTTCTGCTTTAGACCTTGGAATTTCACCTTGCAAACACTGAACTAACCTTTCCATTGTGTGATGTCTAACAGCATTATCTTAGTCCTGTATCTGAATACTAGCTAATGGCAGAATAAAAGGATTATAATCCAAAGAATCTTGTATATCAGCGCCATCATGTCTCATCCAGTTAGTTTTGGTCTGTATCCAAGTGGCAAATATCACCTGCCACTCTGACCAGCAATATAATCTTTACCTTTTTGTTAAAACTAAAAGAACTTGCCTTGAGCTTGTTGCAGGGCATGGAGTTAGCAGCAGAGGTAGATCCTTGCCCTCTCTGGGTAAGAGAGAGTACATTGCTCAGTGAAAGAGAAGTGGAGTGAAGCCCTGATTATTAAATTCTGAAAATCTTGGTGGCAACTTCACAGTTCCCCTCCTAAGCAAAAAGCACACATTGCAGTCAAACACCTTAAATCCTCAATGTGTTCATATCTAGGTCCTGATATTATTATCAGAGTAGTTTTGTGGGAAATGGGCAAGAGTGATCCGGTAGCTTTTTTTTCCTCCTGCAAACTGTTACTAAAAGAAGGCCAACTGAGGCTGAAGATTGAATTAAAGTAATTCAGACTCCTCTTGGCTTTTTTAATAGGCTTATCAAAGATAATTAAAAATGTTACCTATTTCTTAAGCATGTTTTATTAGACTGTTGAAATAAACCAGACACATTCCTTGTGTCCCTACTGGAATGGGGGGAAATTGCTTTCCCATCCAACACATTTTGGTTGCTTCCTGAATTTAAAACAATCTCCAACACCACAATCTAAAACACCATCCATGTTGTAGGTATCTAAGTTCTCCTCCTTTCCGTTCCTAGTCTTCCCTGTGGGTTTGTCCCTTCCTTAAGAAAGTCCTGTGCCCAGGTGTGGTATTACTGACTTCCATATTTAAGCTCCTTCATCTTTGCTCTGTTCTTCTTTTCTGCCTTGAACAAAACTCAAAATTCATAGTCCCCACAAAGTGAACTGTAAACATACAACTGTGCATCAGTGTGATGCTCCACAGTAAAAAGTACCCTCAGCTAAACTTTCTGGTGGATTTGGAGTTTTTTTGTTTGTTAGGTTTTTTTACTTGTTTGGGTTTTTTGTTTTTGTTTGTTTGTGTTTGGGGAGTTAGGGTATGACAATTTTAGGGGATATTTATGTTAGCCGGTATTTACCTTCTCTTCTCCAACAGTGCTCCTGCTGATGATGATCATTTAAAATAACATCAGATATTGTCTCAAACAAAAATGTTGATCTCTTTTCATGTGTTTTATTCCCTCATATTTGAGGGTGCTTTTGGTGACTTTATATAAAGGTTGATTTAGCCACAGCTATTCATAAGAGAGTGGGCAGTGGACATTTTTCATGTAGTGTTCCCAGATCAGTTTATTTTTTCACATTTTCAGGATTCATTTCTCATAAAAGGATAGATGTGTTAACATTGAGATTGCACTTGCATTTCAGTTACTGCTCCTCAACCTCTCCATGCCTGTTTTTGTCTAGAGTGTGGAGGATTAGTTGCAGTTTTTGTGATGATATGGTATATTTAAGAGTTGGATTTCAGGTGGCTGGACAATTATTATGGAGCTTTTGTATTTCTTGACTCATGAAAGTTAAATTACAGAATTAGGGAGCTGGTTTGCAACATCCTAATCCAGTCACTGCTTTCTGCATAACAGATCTTGATAAATTATTTCAAGTCCAGCTACCATATGAAATAATTTTGGTGGGTGATGCTTAAAAGGTGTTCACATAAATATGCCAAAATTTGACTCCTAGCCCAGATTCACTGGACATAAATAGCAGTTCTGGCTTTTGGAAAAAAAAAAAAACCACCTTAATTTTTTTTGTGGGTTGTGAGGTTGGTTTTAGCATTTCAGTTTTGATCCTGGTTGTGACAGGAAACAAAAAAAGTTGTGAAAATAAACCTTCCTTCCCCTCTTATACCTCAGAACCAAACCTGAAGATGAGAAAATGTGTGCTTTTCTGTGCTTGTCTTCATGGGTTTTATAGCTTGCAGCAGCATTGATTATATGATGTTATATTATAACCTAAGATATAAAATAATAAACAGACCTTGATTTTTGTCTGGACTCACTTTGGCTGCCAGAATCAAAAATCCCCCGTTTTTATGATAAAACACTGATGTAATAAAAGATAAATGATAGATAATTGAAGTTCCTGTGCAGCATACTTTCTCCAGGTGCTGAAAACCAGTCACAAATATCAAATTATTACAGCTCTTGGTTCAGCATTTGTTCATATTTCTTATGTTAATTGCAAAGAAACAAAAAGGTTTGTGAAATACTTAAATCCAGTCAAACTGATTAATTGATTTTAAAAAAAGGAAATACTAAGGAGACCTAACTCAGGTTAAAAGCAAACTAGAATTGAAATGTGAACCAGAATCACTGGAGCTTTAGCCAGGGATTTGGGAGTCTGTAAAGTACTTGTGTGATCTTAGCAGGTGCTTAGGTAGTGGATAATATATAAAAATATAACATCCCCTATTGGAAATTAAATAGCAGACTTCATTTTGTATATGTTACAGTATTACTAACTTTGATGTATTTGGGATAGATCATTAATGAGGTGAAAGATTTTGCAAGGAAAACATTAACATAGATCCCCAAGCAGGGACTGGGTAATGGGGTATGCCTGTATTTTAGTTTCTCAATATGAAGAAATGATATTTCTGTCTGTGCTGGCACTTGAACGGGTGGTTAGAAAATCAATATTTAAAGCATAATATTGTATGCACAGTTTTTCCTAATGCACTTACTGCTTTTGGATAAAGGACCATCTTTGCCTTTGATGGCAAGTAGCTCTTTTGCTTTCACCCTTAATATGTTAACAGAATTTGAACCAAAATACTATTTTCCTTACAGTATATATGCAGAAGCCTAATAAGGTGACATGCATGCTGGTTCTTGAACTTCAGAAAGGGCTGCAAACAGGGCTTGCATGAGGGTGTTTTGGAGTCCTGGCAGGCCCCGTTGCTCCAGAGAGAGCCCTGTGTCCTGGATCATTTCAGTGTTCTTCGATGGTTCCGGTAAATGGTGTCAGCTCCCAGATCTGCTCCAAATGCATTGTGCAAGCAGGTTTCTTGTGGTATAAAGAGAATTGGTGCCATTGGCAAGGCTTCAGCTTCATGTTGAAATTCAGCCTTTCCTCAAGCGGTGTTTTGTGATGAAGCCCCAGGCTGGTAATGTTTTGTGGAAAACAGAATAAGGCTTCCCTTGTTTCCCTTATTGTTTATGAAGTGCTTCAGGATTTTGATGGGAAAATGAACTATAATTTTATCAAGCAGAAAAGTTTTATGCATGAAACCCGGATGTGCTGTACAATGGATTCTTTCTAGTGGTGTATAAATAAAGGCATTGTAGCAGAATCATTCTCATTTATACCTATTGTCATTGAATTGGCAGTTCTGATTCAGACAGCCTGATTTACCAGCAAGTTTAACAGTTGCACGGCCTTTGCTTAATAGCTGAAGACTGATAAAAATACTAAGCAGGCTTTCACCTCAGCATCTAATTTGAGAGCAGCTAAGGATACAGGGAACAGGCTTTATCTCGAGCACATGAAATCTATTCTAAACACTCACTTCTGGAAAGCATTTCCCTTTCCTCTTGAACCATCCAAATATGCAAACTGTGTTTTGTAAGATCAGTGGGCTAAGTTTGCAGTCTAATATGTCACCCCCCACCCCTCCAATCTTTTCCAGGTACGCAGTCGTTTGGCGGCTCCACGGGCTCCTCAGTTCAGAGGTACAGTATTCTGGGGGTACCACTCTCTTCTGATGGGGCTCCTGCACTGGGCTCTGCTTTGGACACCAAAAAGCCTTCCTGGCACCGGTGCACTCCAGCTGAAATGAGAAGTTGTCAGATTTGTGAACATCAGTCTCGTGTGTCTAAAGGCTGAAGAATATTTTAGGTCGTAGAATGTGAAAGTCTGTTCTAGGCCTCATTTCTAACAAGGCTTTGTGTTTATGCATAGCTAATAACTTCAGATTATCTATTGTCGCACAACATCAGTTTACCCCGAGTTATATTTTACACTGAAAGTAGTTCTTGCTCCCTGTGGCTAATTCAGTCTGTATCTCTGTTACAAAGACCAAAACAATCATGTTTTCGTACGTTACTTTTCATCCTTGCAAGGTGTGCAGATGAGATAATTTTCCTGGTGTCTTTAAAAAAAGTGCTTCCCCAGAGGAAGGATGTTTGTGGCACCAAGGGAACTGAGTGTCTGGTCTCTGTGGCTCTCATGGCTTCAGCTTTATTTCACGACTGGGAGGCTCTTCCCTTCTACTTGCTGCTATTTTCTCCTCCTTGATTTAATTTATATTTCTGTTGTTCTGCTTTTGGTTTGTGTTGTACTTCTATTGATAGACTGTGTCCTTTAATACAGTAGTATTTTCCTTATTCTTCCACCGTAGCTGAAGTCATAAGCTTGTGCACGTAAAGACTGCCAAAAAATAACTGGCATCCTAAAAATGCCTAAATTAATCCATATAACCATTGTTGCTTATTACTTAGTACTGGTATTCTCATTTCTCAGGGGAGGCTTTGCAGGCAGTGTGGTTTCTGTTAAAGGCACTCACTGCCTTTTCAGAGTTCATTAGATGCCTTTCTCTGGAAGGAGATTGCTCTTTAAAGTATCAGTAGTTTCTGGTTATTTGACCAGGGGAGCAGTAGAGGGTGCTATGTCAAGGCCTGCTTAAAAACTGATATGAGTATTCCTTGAAATTTAACTCAAAGCAACTGGATTGGCATTTTGTCTTCACTTTTCCTTCTCTGGTACAACACCATAAAGCAACCTTTGACCCTATTGGCTAATAAATTCATTTTTCCTTTAAAAAAGAAAAAATCTATCCATTTAATAGATGCCTTGGGAAATAAAAAAAAATAAAAGCAACCCTTTTTGTTTTTTGATTCTAGCATATCTGAAGAGAGCAGCAGTGTCCCCGCTGGCAAAGGTGTAACAAAAGTCAGTCGCACCTTCAGCTACCTCAGGAATAAAATGTCCAGCAGCAAGAAGAGCAAAGTAAGTGCTTCTTGTGATTTATGCAGCCATGAAATGCCCATAGGCAGCAGAGATGAATTCTGTATTTCAGTTCTGTGTTTCCATAGGGTAGTATTTAAGTCTTTGCCCAACTGTCTGTTCTTTACATTTTTTACTTCCTTTCTGTCTTTTGTGAGGAGAGGGTTGTCTGTGTTGTAACAGGGACTAGCTACATGGGAAATCTTAGCACCCCAAAACTGAGCCCTAGGACACACTCTAGGAACTCAACTGGTGGCTGGTGACTAGTAGTGTTCCCCAGGGCTCAGTTTTGGAGCCGGTCCTTTTTAACATCCTTATTGATGATCTGGACATGGGGATCGAGTGCACCGTACCTGCAGTCAAAGGATATGAGGAAATGGCCTTAAGCTGAGTCAGGGGAGATTCAGCTTAGATATTAGAAAAAAATTTTCATTGTTAGGGTGGTCAGGCGTTGGGATAGATTGCCCAAGTTGGAGGTGGATTTGGCACTGAGTGATGTAGTTTAGGGGATTACAGTGGTAGTACTGGGTTGATGGTTGGACTGGATGATCTTGAACATCTCTTCCAACCTTGAAGATTCAACAATTCTTTGATTCTTTTGTTTTCACTCTTTTCTCCACAAAATGAAGCTTCATTTATTATAGAGAATAGATTATGTTCTGGCATGAGTTATGGCTTTGAAGTGATTGATGAGTTTAATTTTTACAGAACCCGAGAGGTTTTTGATAAAATGAGGACAGGAGCTGTAAGAAAGGACTGGCTGCCGAAGGCTGTAGTAGGTTTTCATTTTATTTTTACTTTTGCCACAAAGTTTCTGTGCACTGCAAGAGACATTGCTCAAACAGTGACCTTTGGTGATGGCAAATATTTATATTTTCACCTTTCTTCCATCCTTGAAACCTTGGGATTTAATTTGGTGAAAGATAAGTGCAGCTCAGCACAGCTGAATTTCCTGGGAACCATACTGGTTACAGAAATAATGACGTTAATTCTAGATACTTCACAAAAAAGGTGCAGTTGTTGCCTTAGATTGTCCCCTTAAGTTTAATATATGTTTTTGGCTTGGTTGGATATTTTTTACTTGAATCTCATGTCTTTATTTTTCTGACTGAAGTTCAGAGCACCTTACCTTGCTGTGGGCAGTGTGTATTGTATCATTAGGTGATGTGTAGCTAATATGTTGGTAAATACTGTTGGAAGGCCCCTGAGAGGTGTAATTACACACAGTTCCTCTTTAGGGATCTGCCTTGAAAGATGCAAAGCCATGAGTGCCAGTGGCTCAGAGCTCCTGCTGAGCAGCTTTAAGACAATGCTGTTCCCTGCTGCAGAGTACAATGCCAAACCCCAAATCTTATTACATAGAAACCTCTGTTGCAAACACCAGTGAGAAGTTCAGGAGCATTTTGCACAGACTGTGAACAAGACTGAAAATTCATTAACTGGTTCTTGTACTTCGGATGCATAATCTCTAAAGCAAGAACTAGAGAGAAAGATAAGAGATCTGGTTGGGACACATAAGAAAATACAACAGAATTGCTTTGAGGAATTTGCTCTCCTTTTGTTAAGTAAGTGCAGGCTGATTTCACTAATGTCATGATTGCGTCTGAAAGTGTTGATAAAGAATTGCTCCAAAATCCCCACAATAACACACACTACAGAAATTACAGCTGATAATCAGTTCAGATATTTTTACTAATTAAAAAGCAAGATATCATTCAAATTACAGTTTCATCTCTGCTTACGGTGGAATGTTTGCATGTGACATACTTTTTGGGGGCTCCAGCCTAAAAAAATACCTTACATTTTTAGGCTCAAGCCTAAAAATCCTAAGGATTTTTTTTACCCAAAAAATCCTTGGGAACACTGATTTCTCAGCAGCATTATGGCTGAGGAAAACTGGTAAGCATTAAAAAGAAAAACAACAAACCTTAAAAGAGGAAGTTTGACAGGAAGCTGGTTTCTGCTGCTGTCTGGGCTGTCAGGAGGGAGGGACACTTTGCTTCAGCTTCTTTCCAACTAGGTTTTACTTATCTCCAAACCTGCACTGTTTTCTAAGATGAACTGTAAAATAAAGCACCCCTGAGCCTACTAATGGCAACAGCTCTTTTGGAAAATCGTGTAAAGAGTTATGTAAAAAACCCCTTAAAAATAAAGAGGTGTTTGGAACATTAACTGTAGGGGATACTGATAGAAGTCTCTGTGAATTTACCCACGTCTGGCATGTATTTGCTGTTATTCGGGGATTAGCAGTGAATTTCTTGCCATTAGCAACGTGCCCTGATTCACATTTGTGAAGTCTAAAACGTGCTCTATTTCTGTCAATTCAGGAAAAAAAGAAAAACTTCATTTTTTTCCCTTCTGGTAGAGGGTTTCTAAGAAATGACGACAATTAGCATGAGTAATTTCTCCTTTTCCTTGCCTTGTGCAGTAATAAGGCAGTGCTATACCACCAACAGCGTTTCAGTGTATATAGTAGGAGTTGTAAGTGTCTGAAAGGATTAGGAGACAGGGAATATTCCTGATGTGTAGAGCAGGAGGAGCGCAAACACACAAAACCTTTCTGTTTGGGCATCTTCTGCAGCACTTTGTTTGCTGAAGTACTGCATAGCAACACTGAGGTATGTTAAAATTCGCTTTATTTCTATCCCAAACATTACAGAGTGTTTGATTTACTACCCTCTTACCTTTTAAATGGGTGGTCTCGTGGTGACTTGTGACTTCTGAAAGATTAATCACATCCTTTTCTGCCCTGTATATTTTTTTTTTCTTCTCTTTAGCAGTGGAAGCTAGGGTAGGGCAAGATGAAAGCAACAGCAAAGTAGCTAAAATCATCTTCAAGGAAGTTAGCAGCAATCGTCCCGCCCTCCCCCTTTTGCTCAACTGCTCCGTGCCTGCCATCCCCCCAGCTGGCCTTGCCGGCAGCTCCCGCCTGTCAGGATGGGCTAGTGCTGGTGGGGAGCAGCGCTCCTGCCCCCCAGGGGAAGGATGTCGATAAAATGGAATAGGTTTGCAGAAGTACCTCAGATAACAGTGAAGCTGGTAGGACTTAAGCACTGGGAGGTAAGAGCTTCGTGGTTCTTTGGGGGAGGGATCGGCTGCTGCAGATCTGTTCCTTCGGGTCTGCGGTACCTGTCGTGTCTGTTCCTGCACGTTGGTTCAGCCGCAGAGCCGGGCTTCAAATCTTGCTGGCAGCTCCAATAGCTCAGGGAAATGGTCTTGTTTTTTTACAATCCTTTTTAAAAATAAAGTTCCAGTAACTGTCATAGGAAAAAAGCTGAAAAAAAAAAAATCTCGTTTTGAGACCTTGTCCTTCAGTGGAGTGGCTGGCAGCCTGTGTACAGTGTGCTGTTTCCTCCTTGAAAGTGGTGCACCCATTTCCTGTTTTTTCTGGGGTCGTTCAGCTTTAATTAAAATGTTTTTTACAGTAATTTTCATGAAGGCAGGGTATTATTCCAGACTTTAGAATTACTGGGCTTTGCAGTAGACATCAGGTAGGTTTAAAGTACAGGATGGGAAATCTCCTTTCATCATGAGAGTCACAAGATTTGCCCTGAGCTTAGAGTGATCTTTTCTCCTGGAGCTTCACAAGACTTGGCAATAGAGCAAAACTCCAGGCATCAGCTTAATACCATCAGCCAAGGCCTAAACTGCAGTTTAATTTCTTGAATCCTGCCATGCTGGACATGGTTTAAGGTGGGCAGGTCAGTGGATGGAGGATGGGACTGTGGAGGTTTCTGTGGGGTGGTGAGCCAAAAGCTGATGGCTCAAAGGAGGCGGAGATATGATGCAACACAGATGCAACACAGACTCTTCCTGGCAGGTTTTCTGCTTCAGACAGGATTGTTCCATATGGTAATGCTCCTAGTTTTGCTTATTTGCAGAACAAAATAGCGTTTGGGGCCAGTAAATAGACTTTTTGTTTATGACACTTTACAGGGAGAGACTCCGACACTGGGCATTTTGCCTGGGAAGTGTTGGGAGAAGAGAGTCCTTAGGCTGAGTTACTCATTATTTGAGTGTGTCATCAAGAGCTCAACAGTTTCCCTGCGGGTGACTGCAGAGCTTGATACCTCTTTTAACCACTTCATGGCAGTTGCTCACATGGGCTGCTCTGCAGCTCTCTGATATTCAGGCTGTGACAATATTAGGCAGATGACACATAGCAGCATATAAATAACAAAATGCAAAGATAAACTCACAGAAGCCTTTACCAGTTTCTGGTTAAGCTTCTCTTTCAGATGCCAGGAAATCCACAGTAACAGTTACAGACCTGCAGCTGAATCTTATGGTAAACATGTTAGAGGTTGGTACACAGAAAGACAAGGAGTCGCTGTAATTCAAATTTGGAGTTTTTCTGTGGAGTTTCCTTTAAAAATTGTTTGGAAGAATTCCAAATCCATGAAAGGCTGCAGGGGAAAATGTTTCAAATTTTTAGTATTTAGTATTTTCTAAGGTAGCGATAGAAAAGTAAGCAGAAATTCTGCTAAAAGTTGGATAAGGTGGCTGTGCTTGTCATCTTTCCAAATCTGAGTAGCCCAGAGGTTGAACTGTGGCTTGTGGAAAATGAGAGTATCTTTTATGGTGTTACTGCTGTTCCTCTGCCTTTCTGTGGTGCCATATGTCAAGAGTTTGTAAAAGATCCATTTTCCCAAAAAGCTTCACATGATTACTTGGAGTTGCATGTAACTATTGAAAAAGTTGCTAGTTGGAAGGAAAACAGAGGTGGAAATATTCTGGCAGTGAGGCTGTACAGGCACTGAGGAAGAGCTTGTGTTCTTCATTAAAAATGCTGTTGCAAATCTCAAGCTTTACAGGTTGGCCTTAAAAATTAACTGTGTTGAAAATTTGACACACACTGCGTGTGGTGTTTGTATTTAACACAATTCATTGAAAGCACCGAAGAGGCTGATGAGAGCCCAGAAGAAGAAAAGAGGTAAAAATCATTAAACCAACAAATATAAAACAGAGGTGAAAGAAAGTAGCTGCCTTCAGAACAGACTGAGTTTCATATCTGCTGGTGAGACATCTGTGAGTCAGTAGTATGTAAATCCACATCCATGGGGGCTGTAAGGTGGTTTTTGTAAGGGGGAGCTGGGCAGACACATGACCATTGTTGAGGTGTGCACTGGTCGATATCGTCGTGGTGCCAAAGGCAAACACTGAGGAATTTGTAACTAGAGAATAGACCTCTGCAGAGTAACGAGGCTTTTGGTCATTTTCTCTCTGCAGGAAAAGGAGAAAGACAAAGAGAAGACTAAAGAGAAGGACAAAGATTCCAAGGAGAAGGAAAAAGATAAGAAGCTGTCAAATGGACATGTCTTCACTGCAACCTCCGTTGTAGCCCAAGCAACCTGTTACCACTGTATGAAGCCTTTCAATAAGGATTCGTACTACTGTGCAAGTAAGTCAGGGGAGGTTCCCTCCCTTCCTTTTGTTTTTCATTGAATCTGATGTGGAAAATGCAAACCTTACGCCTTGTTTTCGTTTTACTTAAGGATGTAGGGTGGGAGGGAGACTTTGGAGATAGTGATTCATGGAGCAGCAGCATGTTGCCTTGTGGAAACTGGACTGAAATGAGTTGTGGCTGCATGGAGGTGTCCTGCAACCTCATTCCAAGCTTGAGCTCAGCCATCACAGCATCCTACAGGGTTTTCTACCCCTTGTTGGGCTGTGTCAGTCAGCTGGAGAACTTTGTTTATTTCAACTGCATGTTAGGGCTTGGGCCTGAGCTGCTTTGATAAGATGGACAAAGGACAGGGACAGCTGGCTTGGATCATGGCTTTTACTTCCAGTGGGGAAAAAAAAGTCCCACCCATCTGTAGTGTATTGCTTTAGTTCTCTGAACTGCTTTGGTGAGCCCTTGGTCAGAACCACATGGTACAAAAAGGAAATACTCACCCTCTTCTCCCTTTGTACAAGAAATTGCATCACAGGTCAAACAGCAACTACCTTTGTGTGTGTGTGAGGTACGTGCACTGCAGTCCAGGCAGGACGGGAAACACATCTGGGGGGTTCTGCCAGATTGGTGATTTTGTTCTCTTTTCTTATCACACAGTTTCTCATGCCTGTAGCTCGATAAGGTCAGCAGAGTTTGTGTGGTCGAGCCCAGAATGCTGCCTGGTTTATGCAGCAGCCCAAAGCTATAGAATATGAAGACAAAAATGTATTTTTCCCACTGCAACTCAGGGCTCTTCTTTCCTCACTATTAGTAATTTTTTACTCCACTAGCCTAGAGATAAGTCAAAGCATTTTTGGGAACTGCTCCCAGGCTGGAGTCCTCTGTTCCTCCTGGTAGATGTGAGCAGGGGAAGGGGCAGCCAGCTGAATCCCGAATGGCAGTTCCAAGTTTCCTGGAAGAGATTTCAGCAAAGTTGTTTGCATGAAACACACTCTGTGTCAGCCTGATGGGAAATGGAAAACATCAACAGTTATAAGCTCTCAAATGCATTCTCTCCCTTTCCCCACTCAACTTTCTTTGGCTTCTGAAGCCACTTAGAAAGTCAAATATATCCCAATTTAATTTTCTCTATATTCTAATGAGTTAAAATAACTCAACCATGTCATATGTTTTAGCATAGATGTTCTTGCCTTATTTCCAAGATATGATGGAAAATTATTGTAACTGTTCTGCATTAGACAAGAAATGAATGCCATGAGGAAGGTTTGATGAGGGCCCGGACTGAAATCTCGCATCTGAGAGTGCTCCTTCCTCCTGTTGCATCTTAAAATCAACCATCAGATGCTTTGGAAATTGTGGATAACCAGCAGCAGAGGCTCTGTTATTCCTGTGCTGTTGCAAACTAGTGAGCATAACTGCTCTTTCTAAATGCCTTTTAAAGCACTGGATTATTTTAAATCAATGTCTCAGCTTTTCAGTGATGTCCCCCCAGTTTCCTGAAACATCTAGTCAATGCTAAAAGACTGAGAATACTGTGAAACAAATGGGCAAGCAAAAAAACCTAACTTTTAATAGCTTCCTGCCTGGTCTTTTTTATTTTTTTTTTACTATCAATAATGCAGAAAATAAGCTTTTGGGGGTTTTAATTATTAATACTAGTGATACTGAGGAGTTGGAGGAACTTCCTGCCTGCTGAAGAATTGAATAGGTGAGATAAAGTCCCTGAAACCAGATTTTTCAATCTTAAAAATCCAGATGTTGTATTACCAAATGGTACATACTAAAGAGCTGCCTTCAGGCTTTCAAGGCTTGAAGTGTGAATTTAATGATTCTGAATTGTCTTGCACCAGAAGCAGGTTCTGCCCCACTTCCTTGCTCGATCTGAAAAAATGATAGTGCTTGTGGGTTTCTGCAAGAACACGCAGGTTTCTTTGTTCTGTCTTTCTTGCACAGGAAACTGTGAAATGACAGAATAGCAACACCCTATGGCCTTACCCTTATCTCTATCAAAATATCAGAAGTACTGGCTTTTGTTAAGTAGGCCTAAATGTAAAAAATACTAGGAATGTGAGCATATATTGTCATTCTGGACATGGAATTTTTTCCTTTCTTATTTTTTTCAAGAAATAATTCTGAACTTTACGCTTACAGTGTAACTTACATGTAAAGTACAATTCATTTTCAGTGTTAGTGTCTTCATGAATGAGTGGAAATAATTTTCTCTAAGCTACTGAATCTCATCTGAGAGCATTTGAGTTGTGATCTTTTATCTGCTGAAAGAGTTACAGCCTCAAACCTTATTATCAATTATTATGAAAAAAAAAAAAAAAGTACTTTTAATCATCCTTTCCCAGAAATCTGCTGGCAGAGATCATGGGCAGACTCCAAAAAGCCACATAGCTTTTGCTCTGGCGTGTAAGCAGCAAAGGCTGGGGTTTAAAGCATGATGGTCTTTGGACTGGTGGGTGCTGTGGTTTCCAACCAAAACGGTATCTTCAGTGCAGTTTTCAGCAGGAAGTCCCAACCTCCCGGACATGGTCACCTGACACATGGTCCTGTTACTTCTTCTGGTAACCCTTTAGTAAAACCCTGTGGGTTTCTGTGCTGTAGATCTTGCCTGTGATGTCTGAGTTTGTGTAAATGAATTTTCCTTTCTTTTGGATCTCACAGTCCATGTTTTGATGAGAACAGTATTTCTGTTCTCAGAGAAAATATTGGCCCTACAATTGGTTTCTGTTTCCATCTCCTGCTTCAGCTTTCCACCTTACTTTCAGAGGAATAATGCCATCATTTTTCTTTCCTTTTTTTTTCTTTAATTTAAGACCCACTGGTTAAGACCCCTGGCAGCTCAACCTTGCATTGATTTTTAAACAGAATTTCCTGTTAAATTCTTTGAGGAAATCTTATTAACAAACAAAAGGCTAATTATCCTGGAGAGGAGCCTGTCTCTCAGTATTTGTAGCTACTCGTGTAAACCACAATGATACTTGAAAGTTGTAATTCTCAGTTGTGTAAATTAACAGTTCAGATTACAAATGGTGAAAACTGACCTGTTTTCTCTGCGGTTTTGTTTAATTGGTTGGGTTTTTTGCTTTTGACAGACTGCAATGCAATTGTTCACAAAGGCTGTAAGGAGAGTTTTGCTTCTTGTGCAAAGGTCAAAATGAAGGTAAGAGAGTTCATGTACTCTACTGAATAAACAAAAAAAGTTTATGCAGATATATAACATCTTCTATTATATGTCACAAAGTTTCCAGCTTGTTGGAAAGAACTTCAGGCACTGTGCCCTACGTGAAAACTATTAAATATGTCGTTTATATAAGGAACACACAAAGCTTGCGCTTACCTCAAATGCAAGGAACCTGGTTCTCCAAGATAAATAATGTTTGTACAAGTATGATTTTCAGTTCTCTTCAGTACTATCAGTACTTTCTCATTTTCCTATTTCTCCATCTGTTATTTTTCCCATTTCAATGGTGATAGGGGAAATAAATAAATAAATATATACATATATATATATGTTTAAAAATACATGTACAGCCAAAAACTGATCTGTTCTGAGAGGATTCAAAAAAACATAACTTTTTAAATTTATTATATGGAACAAATTGCTGGGAGAAAGGAGGAAGAAATTACAGTGAAATTCATTTTTCTTTCAGCCACAGAGAGGGATGCTGCAGGCACATGATACCTCTTCGTTACCCACAGTAACCATGAGAAACAAAAGTAAGAAAACTTCCTTTCCCTCTCCTTTGGTGATGTTCTTAACTGTTCTGACAACTGCTAACTTGATATTATGAAAGATAAGTGTTTATCAAAGCAGGGATGAGAACATCCTCTGCGTGTGGTAAGCAATATTTGGGATTTCAGAAGTTGTACTGAAGTTGTACAGAGTTCATCTGCTTCTGCAGTGTCCATGTAGCTTTCAGCAGACGTAAAGTCATCTCAGATTTAAAATAACTACTTGACCAGTGTAGCTTGCTGAATGCCTACGGCTGATAAGTCCACAAAATCTGGAAGATGCAGCCTGTGGAGAGGGTGTTTATTCAAAATACATTTATTTTTGTTATAATTAAATAGTCTTAGGTTTTGAGGTAGTCAAAATAAAAAGTTTTATTTTGAATAGGAGGAATGCTGACAAACTTTTCCTGACTTTGCTGTGATACACACTGCACTGCAGAGCAGTGTGACCAAGGATATAGAATAGGCATGAAATAGCCCAAATGGGTTTTATAGTGCCATGATTTGATAAGCTTAAGTGATAAGCTTTGTTAAGTGATAGCTTGGAGATCTCTATATGGAGCCACACTGCATGATACAGTTGTAATCACTGTGGTATTTATCAGAGATGTCACTCCAGAAAGCAGAAATGCATCTGAAGAAGGAAAAATCTGGAATTAATATGAAAGATTAGTTAAAGGTAATCTATAATGATAGTATAATGAAATAGGGATTATCATTTCTCTGTGGCACATACTGATAGAGAAACCTGTCTCAAAAAGTCTGACCGGAAGCACCAAGATGCATATATTTATAGGCCCAGGGGAGTGACAAAGCAACAGAGTAGATGAAAACATATGATTATTTATCACATAAAATTAAATTCAGTTTCCCAAGTATATGTTTCTGGACTTGCAGATCCCACCTAGGAATTTTAGGCATAGTGCAGTGCAGTCAGTTCTGCTCAGGGATCCATGTTCTTTCCTTCCTGTGGCTGGTTTTAACTGCTGAGATCCCCTGGTGATGATTCTAGAACAATAAGGAAGTGAATTTTAGTGCCTGGATCCTTTAAGTCATCACGGTTAGCAGCAGTTAAGGCGGTTACACGGCCTCACTCCTCTCTGACCCTTCCCTTCCAGGCTCGCAGCCCAAGGAGCGCCCTCGCTCTGCAATCCTTGCTCCTGACGAAAGCACTGTCACCTCAATGTTCAACAACAGGAGATCATCACAGCAGCCTACAGCACTTTCTAAAAGTGTCTCGATACAGAACATTGCAGGGTAAGGTTTCTCCCTGGACACCTGAGCACCCGTGTGTTACCTGACACTGCGAACATAACGAAGTTCAGATCTCACTGAAAATAGATTCATGGACTATGATTTGTGCTAAAAGTACAGAAGAGGTTCACAAAGCCAGAAATACCCATGTTATGTATGATACCATCAGGTGTCTTCTGCACAATCAGATTGTCTGGGTTAGTTTAGTCATAGCATGAGTTCAGAGGAGTCTGAGTTGGCCTGGTTAGATTCAAGGCCACTTCATAGAGATGCTCTGGGATCCAGGAGGAAATTCCCTTGCCTTGGGCTGGATACCGTGGAAGCACACATTTGCAGCTCAGGTATTGTATTAACTTTTGTGTCCATGACAGTAGGGGTGAAGGCACAGAGCTGCAGTCTGCCTGGTGGGTTTGGACTGCATTATACATAATTAATTAAAAAAAAAAAATCATAGAAGAAAATCTAGTTTATGGTTTCTACCTTACCTGCATTTTGAGCAGTTCTACACATGAGGCAGTAGCATGGACTGGCATGTTCTGGGCAGTTTGAATGCCCTGGCTAGTCATGGTGAAATTTTTTTCAGTCCATTTTTCTCATCTTTCTCAGAGCTAATGATAAGGACTCTCATATAGCCTTTGGTGTTGCATTTCTTGCACTGCTTGCACCAAGGGCAGTGAGGATGGGATGTGACTGAAATGGAAAGTAGTGGAAATGGAGTTATCCAAACCACAAAACCTCAGGTGTGATTCTTTATAGAAGCAGCACCAGCACTCAGAACTGTACCTCTTACAGCTTCTTGAGCCCCAGAGGGTAGTTAGAAAACAACTAATGAAAGCACAACTAATACATACACAACTAATGTATGTAATCGTGCAATGCTGGCTTTTTTTTTCCAATTGGTATTTAGAATGCATTTCTTCTGGTTATTTGAAAGTACATTTGGCTGGGGTTTTTATGTCATAAACAATATTGTACGTTCTGTTTTTCAGCAGAGTTGGGAACGATGACAGCTTAATACACACTTGGAAATTCCTGTCGCAGTCAACAGACTCCTTACATAAAATCAGCCGGGTGAATGAATCCATGGAGTCACTGGTTGATGAAGGTAAGAGATCACCATGGCATTTATAGCAAAAGGAAGGTCTCAGTGCTGCTTTCCAGAAATACAAAATCCATTTTTAGCAAGTGTCCTCCTTTCTAATGGACAATTAAAGTGAATTTATTTTAATCTTAGAATATCAGCATGATAAACAAAGCCCCACATATTAATTACTTTAGCTTGTTGAATTGTGGGAAAACATTTAGAAGGTTTCAGTTACAGTTGAGTTACTTGGAATTTAGCTCAGGGAAAAACATTTCCTCTTCTACTGTGTTTTTTTTATCTGTGATGTTGTTGCATTGCAGCTTCAGAATACATTATCTGAGCTAGAATTTGGTCTGTGTGAAAATGGCCAACTAGTTCTTTGCAATTAAGAAATAATCTTTAGAAGTGCTTTTCATAACCTGGTCCTTACGTGGTGTATGATCATTTGTGTCAGGAGAGGAGAATGTGTGTGGTGTCTGTGGTGTGACAGACAATGCCTAAACCTAAATGAATAGACAGGAATGTCAAACAGGACAAGTTACTCACATCTTAATGGCACTTACATTGCTTTGTGAAGGAGCGGACATGAATGAAGGACAGCTCATGGGAGAACTGGAATTAGATTCCAAGCAGCTGGAGGCAGAGTCCTGGAGCCAAGTAGTGGACAGCAAGTTCCTACAGCAGCAAAACAAGGATGTTGTCAAACGGCAAGATGTCATTTACGGTGAGATACCTGCATCTTCATTTTTCACTCGTTTTAGATAGCTTCTTGATGTTCCCACACACATGGATTTGGGAAACTTTAGGTCACTGAACTTTAGGTCAGGAAACATTGACTTGGTTTCCTTAGAAGCCACAGTTTCATTCTTGCAGTTCTTAGAAATGTAATGTATTCTGTGAAGGCTTTTTTTTTTGCAATTCCCATATCCAGAAGCCATAAAAAATTCCCAGAAACTGCCTCTCGTTGTTTGTCTGCTGATGACATTTAAACTCAGTTACAGCAGAGCAGGTAGCTAGGAAGTCTTCTCCTGACAAGTTCAGGAACCATCCTCTATGGCAAAAGGGCAGTATGGTGAGGCTGCCAGTGAGTTAGGAAGGAGCAGATACCCAGGCTGAAGGTTCAGACCTCAGTGTCCAAAGCTCTTTATTGTGGGATTCCTCTGCCTCGCTCTCACATGTGAAACTTTTTCTCTCATACATGAAGCTATTGATTGATGTTTCAATAGCTGACATGAAATTTTCTGAAACCAGAGAGAAGCCCAGTTATGGAAGATCTTTCTCATGGTAGCTTTTCCTTGTGCTGTAACCCATGAACTCCACAGTGACCTTGGTTTTGACCTTGTCCCCATCCTATACAGAGCTAATGCAGACAGAAATGCATCACGTCCGCACCCTGAAGATCATGAATGATGTGTACAGCGCAGCGATGTTGAAGGAGCTGCAGTATGATCAACAAGTCATTGACAAGATCTTTCCCTGCCTGGAAAACTTGCTGCAAATCCACAGTAACTTTTTCCAGCGGATTCTGGAAAGGAAGAAGGAGTCATTGGCAGACAAAAGTGAAAAGAACTTTGTTATCAAGAGGATAGGTGACATCCTAGTGAGTCAAGTAAGTGCTGGAAAATGCTTGCAGTTCTGAGAACACAGCTGGAAACCAGGCGCTTTTCCTTCCCTCCCGTTTGTGCCTGTCAGATAATCGCAGCTGATGGCACCTTTACTCTTCCCACATGTAAGAATCTCTGCCTCTGCTTTTTTTTAGGCACTTTTTGCTTTCAGACGAAGGTCCACTGTTGAAAATTAATTTAGTTCATTTTGTGGGAAAGAGAAGCATTTGCTGACAGGCACAAAACAGTCTGACTTTAGCCTGGAGTGTAGGCAGGAGCTCACAGCAAAATATGCTCAGTGTGTCTCTTGGCTACGTTACTGACCTGCTGTTTAACTTTGGGTGGGTCATTTTACTTTTCTTTATCCGTGGTTTCTGCCTTCTTTTTGTCTGTTAAGCCCTGTGAGTAGAATCCCAAATTCTGCTGTAGGTGTGAACCCAGTAAATTCCCCAAATCAGCTCTTTTCCTTTCTAGAGATCTGCTTGCTTGATTAAGGATGCTTTGGACTAATTTAGTTTCATCGGATTCTTTTGAGAGGCTGGCAGGCACTGCTGGGATATCACACCAGGAGCTCAGTGCAGATTGGAGCTCTGTGTCTCATGTCTTGCAGTTCTCTGGTGACAGCGCCGAGCGAATGAAGAAAACCTACGGCAAATTCTGCGGGCATCACAATGAGGCAGTCAATTACTTCAAAGATCTGTACTCCAAGGACAAGCGGTTTCAGGCATTTGTCAAGGTAGGATCTGGTAGGACAGCCATAGTCAACGGAAAAAAGCATCTCCTTCTTGCACTATGGTGACCATTTTGCTACAGAAATTAAACTTTCACCTTTATTCCTTAGAAAAAAATGAGCAGCTCCCTGGTGAGGCGTCTTGGGATTCCTGAATGTATCCTGTTGGTAACACAGAGAATCACAAAGTACCCTGTCCTTTTACAAAGGATACTGCAGTACACCAAAGGTAGGGACCAGTTCCTTTATTCTAACTGTGTATTTGTTCATCCAGTGTAAATTTTTTTAGATCCTTTTCAGCTGAAGCAGATTCTCTTACCAGGTAATCCAGTCATTGTTGTCTTGTGCAGCTGTAACAAGATAACTCAGTTCCATATCTCCATTTAGGATTAGTTGTTCAGGTACCTTGATTTAGTTAAGTCTGTCTGTAGCTAATTATGGAGCAACATGCTTAGACTCCAAAGTTTTCCAGCTTGCTTTTTTTGTGGTAATGGCTAAAATATGTGATTAATTTCTGTATTTCATCCATACTCCCTCATATACAAAGTATATTGGAATAGTCCCCAACCTCAACCACATACATGTGAAAGGTTTTGTGAAACTCTCCTTAAGGGGAAAAAATGCATCCTTTCTCATTTAAATATTACAAAGTTATAATGCTGGAATTTGAGAAGGAGAAGAGGAAGGAAGTAAAACTGGGAAGTTAGACTCCACAAAGATGAAGTGAAATCGAGGTTTCTCTGTTTCTTTTTTGAAGAAAATGAAGTGGAACATGAAGACTTGACTCAGTCATTAAACCTCGTTAAAGATGTGATTGCTGCAGTCAACAGCAAAGTCAGCAATTATGAGAAGAAAATGCGTCTTGGTGAGATTTACAACCGGACGGACAGCAAGTCCATCATGAGGATGAAGAGCGGCCAGATGTTTGCAAGAGAGGACTTGAGGCATCGGAAACTCATCCGAGATGGGCCTGTTTCACTAAGAAGTGCAGCTGGAAGGCTAAAAGGTGAGACTGTCCTGCCTTCTGCTGACGCAAACTGTTCAGGAGAGGCTCTGCTGTCCTTGCAGCTGCCTCATGTTGGGTGTTTTCTTGAATTGCCTTTTGTTTGTTAGGTGGAAGTAGTTTTTTTTAAGGTGCTGTGCACTGAAGTTCTCCCCTGAATTAAACACTAACTTTCCCAAGGAATCCTTCAGCTGGGACCATGGCAGAAGTAAGAGCAGACAGGGCTGTGTCTCAGGCTTGGCAGGAAGGCTATGTTTCCCTTCTCCCCTTCCAGCATTAGCTGACTAAATTACGGTCTGTGGGCATGAACGGAGACTGGGAGCCTAGTGCTGTGCTGTGCAGGGAGGCAGTGATAACATGGAATTCCATACAGGGTATGATTTATTTCGAGGTTTTGGAAACAGGAAGTTTACAGATGATTTCTAGGCACCCGAGTCTACTATTGCCTTTAGATGATTGATGAAGCAAGTTATGCTGCTGTTGTGAAATCCTGTGATAAGCACTGGCTCCATTTGCATTTCTTAGTGATAGAGATGCATAAACATGTCTGTAGTGCAAACTCCTAGGGAAAGCAGGTCCTGCAGGCAAGCTGCAGACACAGGGAGAGCAGCTTGTTCTTATAGTCAGGCTGTTTTGCAGGATTTGAAATGCAGCACAGAGAATTAGAGGAAGAACATTTCTTAGAGTGTTTTAGCATTTCCCCTCTTGCAAAGTGCACAGAACAGAGAAAAAGGGAATCAAATGCTGCCTTTTGCAAACCTCACAGAGCTTGGATTTAATTTTGCAGCTTTGCTTAAAGTTTCATGGTTCTTTTCTCTGGAATGGATCCTCTCTTCCCAAAACAGAATGGAAGGATTTACCCATGGGATGATTTAACTTTCTGGTTTGCTTCCTCTCTGTCACAAGATTTCCCAAGTACATTACACAGAAACTCTTTGTACCGAAGGGTCTGGGTGGGGCACTACACTTGGTAGTTGCTGTGCAACTTTATGATATGTCATTAGGAGACTTGGAAAGCTGTATGTGCACTCTGGGAAAAGACTGATTTAAAATCCTCTGTTGGCTTGAGGTTGTGCTTCCTTCTCCCATGAAAGAAAGCCAGGTCCTGTGTCTCACACAGGCTCTGTCGGCTCCCCTCGGAGTCGACAAGAGTTGTGTTTGTCTGAGAGCAGAATTAGTGGTGGCTCCTGAAGTCAGTATTTCCTCAGAAAGAAACTGCAGCTGACAAATGTTGTTATTGCATGATAATTTACGCTCTGCAAACCACTCATCAAGAGAACCATAAACCCAAAACTTCCTGTGCAGATATTTTGCTCAAGGGCTAAAATATTGATTGTTTGAGAAAACAGAGGTTCTATTGAGTAAACGTCTCTGGCTTTCGCTGTTATGCCCACATCTTAACTGCTAGTGAGCGTGTGGCAGGAGGGGAGCACCCCTGCTCAGACAGACGAGAGCAAATCCTGCAGGTTTTCCAGGTGCTGATTTGTTCTGCTTAATGCAAAGTCAGTTCAGAGCTAACCTGACTTGGCATCTCCAGGAGCTGCCCCTGCTCCTCCTGCTAACTGGGAGGTTGATCCTGCTTCCAGCATTTGCAAAACCAGCCCTGCTGCTCCCCAGCACTGGTGTTATTACAAGAAATCTGTTTTGGGGTGGGTTGTGCGGTTATGCTTACCGTTATGCTGCTTCTTTTGCAGAAGTCCAGGCTGTTCTCCTCTCTGACATGCTCGTGTTCCTTCAGGAGAAGGACCAGAAGTATGTGTTTGCCTCACTGGTAAGACTTCGACCTCTTCTCCTTCTTCCTTTTCTACGTGAGAGACCCGTGATGTGTGTTGTGCAGCAAAGCCAGCCATTTTTCTGCTAAACAACTCAATTTTCTTGCTCGCAACATTTTTGTTTGCTGAGCAGACTCCATTCTTTCTGACAGGAAAACATGCCCCACCTCCCCTTTCTGCAGTGCCTTGGCACAGCTGATAATTGGCCTTGAAAAGCTGCCTGTCACTCGATACACTTGTGCTTTTCAGTTTGTGCACATTGAAGCAGTGGTTGGGGCGGGAGGGGGCAAGGAGATAATGCAAACATTGTAAAAATGAACCTCAGCAGAAGGATATGTCCTAATACATTGTGGGCTGCTGTGGGGGGTGGTGAGGTAAAGTGCAAGTGCAGTAAGTTCAACAGAACAGCTGGAAAATAAATGTCAGAGAAATATACTTGTAATGCACAAGAGCAAAACCACTAGCTTTTGAGGGCAGGCCCCTGAAAAGGGCTGGGCACACTGACCTGCTAAAGAAAACCTAGTGCCTAATGGAGTCTGTTGGGCTGTACCTTCCAGGCATGGTCTAGACTGGCTAAACCTTGTGACCTTTCCGCTCTTTGAGCATTTTGAAAGCTGTTAATTTGTTATTGCAGTTCCACCAACCCTCTGCACAGGCTCAGTGCCCTACACAGGAGAAGCTGATTTGCACACAAGTCCTGCTAGTGGACCTCTACCAAATCACCCCACTTGTAGCAGCTGGTACAGTGCACAAAGGGCCTGACACTCATGTGCAGATGACACAGCAGCAAAGGGACGTTGTAACCCAGCAGGCTGATTACACAGGCACCGTAACACACAGTGAACGTCATCTTACACACGAGTTCTCACACAGGAGTCAGCTGTGAGCTTCTGAGAACAGCAGAGGTTTCGTGGCATTTGAAAACAAGATGTTATTCTATCTTAGAGAGAGATCATGAAGATACTGTGTGTGAAGCAGGCATTAGCAAGCTGCACCAAGTGTTAAGGAGCTGTGATATTAATGACAGGGAGAGCGTGGGCAGGAGGAAGTGAGATCAGAGCAAAATATGGTAGAGTTTACAAAACCACAAAGTCAATTCTAAATTAATTCTTTGTTGAAATGGAATGAGGTGAAATTGCTTTTCCTGCAGAACTGTCGGAGGAAAGCAAACCCTTCCCTGTTGTTTGACCCCATTAAAATGATTTATTTTTTTTAATTAGCCAATAGGTTCAGAAAATATTTACAGCCTGAGAGATGTAGTGCTATGGTTTATTGGGACCTTTTCAATGCTAGTTTACACCTGGAAAGTAGCACTGTTCACCCTCCTCACCCATTTCTTTCCATCTGAAGGACCAGAAATCCACTGTGATCTCTCTGAAGAAGTTGATAGTACGGGAAGTGGCTCATGAAGAGAAGGGTTTGTTCCTGATCAGCATGGGTGGAAAAGATCCCGAAATGGTGGAAGTCCATGCCAGCTCCAAAGAAGAACGTAACGGCTGGATACAGATAATTCAGGACACAATGAACACCATGTAAGCTACCCAGGTGTTCTTGGGAGGCAGGTGGTGCACATGGTTGTGTTCCTGTGATAATCAAGCCTATCCCTGTCTCCTGTCCAGGGATAGAGATGAAGACGAAGGAGTCCCTTGTGAGTCTGAGTTCGAAAAGAAATTGTCTGATGCAAAAGTGAGAGGACTGAAAGGTAAAATCCTGCCTGGGACAGAACTGGGGAGTGGTTTCGGAAAAATGTACAGGAATTTTTGATTTGGATTTTGTGGTTGAACTACAATATTTTTCAAATGAGTGAAAGCCGTACATCCAGCAAATAATTGCAATCCTGGTTTGTGGCTCACCTTCTCTGCATTATTTTTGTTCTGAGCCTGCTGGATGCCAGTGCTGTGCATGGATTGTGCAGGGCATTGTCATACTATGTCAAGAGTTATGTGCTGCCAAACCCAGCACATACTGTCAGGTTCCACTAGATGGGGCCAGTATCTCAGGAATCGCTCAAGTTTCCTTGACGAAGCTTTTATTTTCTGTCTTCATCTCTTGTTTTCTGTTCACCCCCACAGAACAACTTCAGCAGAAGGATAAGCAGATCCTGCTCTTGCTGGAGGAGAAGACGAAGATCTTCCGGGACATGGCAGACAGTTCTGTGCAGGAGGAGATGCCAGGCTCCAGGCTGCTCTTCAGAGCCAACACAGAAGAGGCTCCAAAAGGAGAGGCCATTATGAAAACAGCAATAAATGAAGGTGAGCCAGTCAGGTGACATGTAAATTACAGTAACCAACAGACTCCTCAGCTTCAGTGAAAGTGTCAGTTCTCAAGCACCAGTCTTGCAGGGGAAGTCTTGTCTTTGTCAGAATAACAGCACAGATGAGGAGATAATGCTACTCACGATATTGTCTCAGGGACAGGTCATGAGGATCAAGAAAGGAAGCAGATATTGATGGGTGTTGAAAGAAGGCAGAAAAATCAGCACAGAGAACAACCATGCATTGAACCTGCTTTGGGGTCAGGAGCAGCACAGTATTTATCCTTGGCCGAAATTTGGACCATCCAGGCTTTTTGCTGTACTTCAGTCTCAGAAAGATGTGAGAGTGGGGCTTGGGTTCCAGCAGGCACTTGTGGTGCCTGCAAGGGACAGTCAAGTCCATCGACAAAGGCAAGGGTAGATGGAAACTCAGTCAGCTTTCCAGTGTGATTTTTGAAGAGGCTAAAAATTATTAGATGCTGTTGTCAGAGCATATCAGGTTGCCTGGAGGAAGAGAGGGAGGTGTAAGCTGTGCAGAGCTCCAGGAATTGGAGTTAATGGTCGGGCAGACTGAGTTTTTGCAGGGACAATGCGTCCTATTCATACCATTGTCACAGAAACACAGGCTCTTGGTCCAGCAAAGTGTGTGAATTTCTGACCTCAGCTCAAGCAGTGATGAAAATAGCTCAGAAGCCTGAGGTGGCCTTTAACAAAGACATTGTTGCTTTTTTATCAGTCGAACTGCTGCAAGACCTGGTGAACAGGAGCCTGGGCACTGCCCTCGGGCAGCAGGTCAGCAGCACTGCCATGGAACAGGAAGGAGGAGTTGGCCCTGTCTCTCTTCCTAGAAGGGCAGAAACCTTTGGAGGATTTGACAGTCATCAGATGAATGCTTCCAAGGGTGAGTAGTTATGTGTGTGCACACCAGAATTTGTTACTAATACATGTCATCATATCCTCTTGCTTCAGAAAGACTTCAGCTGGTGATTTGGATTTCACAGCTCCTCTCCAATAATAGTTGATAGATTAAATCACAGATTAGGAAAAAAGTCTACGTACAGGTAGAATGATGGTAGCTGAGAACCTGTGGCTACACAAGGATTAAACATCTGAACTCTTCACTCCTTTCTCTCTATGTTCTCTCTAACTCATCTGTACTCTTATACTTATGTGCCACATGGAAGCGTTTGGCTTCTCAATAAATTAGTTTCTTCGTGTTATTATTGTAATATCTACAGCTCTGTTCTTTGTTCTTCACTTATCTTCCAGCAGGAGCCTGGTGCTGTTGCATTTGCAAATGGATGAGGATATTGCTGAATCAAACACCTTCTCCCCTGTCTCTGCTCTCTATGCATTTGTTTTCCACCTACAGCTGCATGTGTTATTCCTGCAATTAAGTCTCTTCCAAAGAAATGTGTGACTGTTTATTTCAGCTGCATAGTTGGCTGCTTCCCAATGCTCTCTTTCTTTGCCCAAGTCATCAGAAACTTCCCTGTCCTCAAATTCCTTTCTCTGTGGTCTCGCTCACACTCCCAATACAACCAGTTTTGCTGTGCTGATGTCTGTCTCAGCACTGGGATTGTTGGACCTTGTCTGACCTCCTGCATTAAAGGAGCAGTGTTAGCTCCAGACAGTCAGACATGAGAAATATGTAGAGGCTTTCCCAGTTCTATTGGAAAGCTGCAAAGCCCTTCACAGGCCTTGTCATCATAATGACAAATATATTCACACCGAAGGGGTTTGTTTAGGGTTGTGCCTCTCTGTTGCAATGATGAATGGGGCAACCTCAGGCTGTTCATTCCCCAGCTCTAGGTTTTCTGTAGAAATACCCTCTTTTGAATTAGATTGTAATTCAGTAGTTGTAGGGTCTTGGGAGATTTGGAGAAAAGAATGCAGGGCCTGTTTGTTCAGCTGAAGATCAGGAGGTATGAAACCTGGCATTCACCTCCAGTTCTTCTGTTCACAACCTGTGAAACCTCAAGCAAAGCTTATAACCTGACTCCCCTTCGTTCTCCCCTCCAGCAAAGCAGAAGGGAGGTGTTTCCTCCTGCAAAGAGGTGGAAGGTCCCAGGACGTGGCACAGGAGAGAAGGTCTGTTAGGAGGACTTGAGGGTCAGCCTTTAATAGCAAAGCCTGCCTGGGGGTGGTGGGGGGAGAGGGCCTTTGCACTAGGTATGGTGCCTTTCACATTGATGCAGATTCAGGTGTATGTAAAGTTGATTATCATTAAAACAGTGGCAGTTGGAAGGTTACCACTGCAGGTGTGGGTTTTCCCCATGGGCTGCATCTCAGCTGGCAAGAGGAGTACAAGAATCTTGGCAAGAGCTAGAGGATGGAAGGTCTGTGCGACTCCTTTGCCACCCCTGAGCAGAAGGGCAGCACAGGAGGAGGGTTACAACCCTCCTGTCCCCACAGGTCAGTTCAATCCTGCTTGGGAGCACTGATATGAGTCTTCCAGGGGGAAGTTAGAAAGAGAAGTCCAGGTTTCCTTTGAAGATTCAAGTTTCTGATAACTAAGATTAATGGTAAATTGCTGGCATAGAATTACACAGGGTGTCACAGAGCAGTATCTGACCCAGATGTAAATTAACTTGCACAAGAGAGGCATTGAAACTAAACCTGCAATAATATACCCTGATATGATTCTGTTATCATCCTCCATCTGCTCTTACTCTGCCTGATGTCTTCTCAGCAAGTATTCTGTGGTAGTAGATGGCAGTGCAGGGGCTAGAAAGAGCACCAATTGATAGCAGTGTGCCAAAATTATCAGCACGTTCTCTGAAACCAAAGTCAATCTTAATCTAAATTCACATCCACTTTTTCTGGCAGTGCTGACGTGTTCCGTATATTTAGAGAGCAAATGCATTTAGTTAAAGTCTCAGTAGCTCTGTGTCCCCTTTTCTGAAACGTGTGTTTCCTGTATTAAATTTCTCAGACTTTAGCAGGTTCATCCATGTTTTAGGATGTTGAATAACCGGTGTCAATGCTGGCTTCTTCCTTAAGGTGGAGCAAAAGATGAAGGCGATGATGCTCAGGACCTTCGAAGAACAGAATCAGACAGCATTTTAAAGAAGGTACAGCTTGTTTTATCTATCTGCTAGCACTGAGTTCAGGTTGCAAGAGAGTGACAATTTTAGTCTTGAAAAATGCCTAAATTTCTTGACAATTAGATATGTCCTAGTAAGTTAAAAATAAAATAAAATTGGAAGTATGCAACTAAAACCACTTTGCTGTAGCTAAAATCCTGACTTGAAAACTATTGCAAATCAGTTTTATTCCTCAGTGGCACAAGTTATCTACCATCTGTCTGCAGAACAGCCAAAGCATGTGTTTAATTATGTATCATTATTGAAATGATAAGGTCAACTATAACCTTGCACCTATTCTTGCTGCAGATCAATCTATCACATAACTACAAAATGTTACCTAATTAATATTTTATTGTATATGATTTTAACTTGCCTAAAAAACAGTATGTGAATTCTCCCAGAATGAAAGGGGGGGTGTTTAATGGGTATGTCATTAGTTCAGCTGATTACATTTGCTGTGATTTCTCATTGTCCTCATATTAAATTTGTGATCTTATCATAGGGTGGAAATGCTAATCTGATGTTCATGTTGAAAAGGAATAACGAGGTAAGAATTGATTCCGTTGCTCAGCTGTTTCCTTCTTTTAAGTGAGAAGAGAATTTGTCTCAATAGGTGATAATGTAGAAGAAAACACATTTCATTTGCTGAAACGCATCTAGACTTTTAAATACATTAAGTTGAACCCACTGTGTCATTTATTTGTTTAACCTTGAATGTTCAGGCAGGGAATTCACTGATTGTCATCTGCTTGCCAGCAGGATGATATGTGCTGATTAGAGGCAGCAAGGGTTAATTACCACCAGGATGCACAGGGCTGTATTTATTGTGCATCTGCAGACAGAGAGAGTTTAATTTTATGTTGCAGGTGCAGTGAATTGGGGCAATTAGATTTCTATTCTCCCTTTGATACACATTCATAACTTCCAATTAGCATTAATGGCACAATAAGAAGCAGCTCTCTTAATACTGGCTATCACATCACTACTGCAAATACTGCAGTGGTTTTTCTTCTCAAAATAATTGTAGGATATGAGAGATTCAGAGAAAATTTTAACTAGGCTAAATTTGGGGATAGGGCATCAGTCCAAAGTAGGTTGCTCTGTGTTGATTCACAAGGTGTTTGCATTTACCTGTATTTTTGGAGAGCCTCCAAGAATACACTTGCTGCTCTTGTGTGCCTGCTGTAGTGCAGCTTTTCTGTCTAATGGCAGTAGGACTTGGATGGGTCAGCTGATGGAGAACAATACAAATAGTCCACATCCATTTTAAGATTTCTAGGGTTTTTTCACCCCTTGAAGTTCTTTTCCTGAAATTTTTAAGTGAATTGTTGGGTTTCATCCCAATTACTCTGCTTGTTCTTGAGCAAGCTGATGCTGTGGGAAATGGTTTACAGTGACAAACTGGGACTTCTCATGAAGCCTGTGCCACGAGGTACCTCTGCAGATGTTTCTTCACCTGCTGCACTGACAGTTAGGGAAGGGAGGGAGGTGATGCCAGGCACCTCTGGGAGATATCCAAGGGATGTATTGGTGTACTGGGGGACGATGCAGTCATTGCAGGAGAAGAGTGAGGAAAAGGAAGGTGCAGAGGGATGGCTGTACAACTTGTCAGACCACAGTGGGTCACAGAGGGAAGGAGGGTGCTGTACGCCTGCCCCAGCACCCAGGGAGATCTAATAGCAACGCTTTTGTTTTCTCGCAGCAGGTCCTCCAAACCATTACCAGCCTCCATAAGTTGCTCAGTGCTTTGCAGGTAGGCTTAGCCCTTCATCCTGCTTCTGCTTGCTGCTTGCCCGAGCTGCCAGTCATGCTTCACCCCTTTCTGCCCTTCTCCTCTGCCTGTCACATCCCTGCATGGCTGGATACTCCACAGAAGTGTGCTGGGAATGTTGGAATGAGCTGCTGCCTAAGGGAACCAGTGCTCACCTGAGTTTGGGAAGCTGCTGGGGGAGATGCTTTTCAGCATCCTCTGGTAGCCCAGCTGTAAGGCAGCAGTGCTGCACTGTGAGTTTGGTGGGAGATGAAGGGGTTCAGTACAGCACCCTGGGGTTTTCAGGGATGGGCCTCTCCTGAGGATGCTGTAGTGATTTCTGTACCTGCTCTCCCAGGGCGTTGTGCTGCAGCAGGACACCTACATTGAGGACCAGAAGCTGGCTCTGAGTGAGAGGGCTCTGACCCGAAGCTTCTTCCGGCCGACCTCGCTGCTGGAGCAGGAGAAGCAGCGCAACCTGGAGAAGCAGCGCCAGGAGTTGGCCAACCTGAAGAAGCAGCAGACACAGCACCAGGAGGAGAGGCGGAGGAGAGAGAAGGAATGGGAAGTCCGGGAGAAGGAACTGGCAGAGCAGGAGGCCCAACTGGCCCAGCGCGAGGAGCAGGTCCAGAGAAGGTGGCAGGAGCTGGAGCGGGAACGAGAGGAGCTGCAGATGAAGAAGGCTGCCTACCAGCTCGACCTGGAGAGGCTTCGCACAGCGCAGAAGCAGCTGGAAAGGGAGAAGGTGCAGCTCAAGCAGGATATGGAGCGATTATCTCAAATGCGGCAGGAGCCTGACCACAACCAGGTAAATGATGCCAAGGGCCAGGCTCCTGGGGAAGCAGAGCCCTGCAGGGAGCTCCCAGCCAGCTCCCGGGCCAGCTGCATGCCTGCAGGGATAGACTGGTGCCAGCCCAGCCCTAGGCACGTGGGGCCTGGTATTTCAAACTGTCTCTTTCCTTGCATGTGATGTGCAGAGCTGTGATTCTTGCACCTCTGTGTTTCTTGCACCTCAGCTGCTGAGGCACTGCCAGTGTTGGTGCAATGTGGTGTATTTGGGGTCCCTGACCAGTGCTGAGCAGGAGGGGGCTACAACAGCCTGAGTTCTGCCCACTTCTGTGTGCCATACATTGGGGGATGGCAGAGAGAAGGTGGCTCGCTCCCAGAGAAGATGTCCTAGGCAATCCCAAAAGGCTGATCCTGCCTGACACTGGCCTTCACCCCGTGAGGGCTGAGCTCTGGAGCACAGTCAGGCAAAGGAGACGTCCTTCTCGGAAACAGCCAGAGTGTTGTGGGTTATCTGCACCCTCCAGCTGTCACTAAAGCCCCTTGTGAGGCTGATAACTGCAGGGCAGGGCTGTTTGCATGCTGACATCCATCTGCAAAAGCATTCTCAATATCTAGCAAAGAGATGGGCATTGCCCCTGTCCTGGAGAGACTGGGCACCTGCAGTCCAGTTGTGGCTCAGTGAGCAAAGGTCCCTGGCTCTGCTGAAAGAACCTTCTGGTGCCTGGCTGCCCACAAGCACAAAGAGAGCCCCTACACAGATCCTGCTCTGTGCATTTTTCAGCCATCTGAGGTTTATTTCTTTATAGCTGTGCAGGAGTCTGGGGGAGGAGAGCAAGCATCGTTGGCAAAACATGGGCTGAATTTCATCCTTAAGCCTGTTGATCATTTGTTTGTTTGTAACTCACTGATTCTGACTGTAATTAGCTTAGAGCTGCAGCAAAATTAGTTTATAAATGTTGGATTGCCAAATGGAAATGATTTTGGGTGCCTGAATGGACTAATTTTGGAGCAGTGAGCTCTGAAAAGCTAATCACCAGAGGAGGGCCTGCTCCCTCCCACCCAGTTCCTGATCAAGCCAGAAGTTTTCCGAGCAACCAGTGAAGCTGTTCCAGCATCAAGCACACGTAGACATGTGAGGGGCATGGATGCTGCGGGAGGGGCTGAGAGGTAAAATGCCTGCAAGGCTTAGGGGATTTAGGAGAAGGAAACACCTTTTCGAGGCAGGTATCTTACTGACATTGCAGAGCTATTAATAGAGGGTTCAGTGAGGCTTTGTTGGGCTGTTGTTTTGATCTTCCCTTTGAATGTGCAAGCTCAATTACATCCTGAGACAGCCGTTAGGAGAAAAAAAAAATTGGGAAAAATGTTTTTGCTTTCATCTTTTGCTTGGGAAAGCTTCCTTTGACACATGCTGCTCTGGTGTGCTGGCGTTCCCCTCCCAGAGAAGCACACTGTTCCTTGGCCTCCTGCCACCATCTGTGTGTGCAAACGATGCAGGGTGAGTCTCGGTTGTGAGATCTTAGGGAATATTTGCCCTTGGCTTGTTGATACATAGCATAATACATGTAGGAGCAAAAGATGGTGGAGTGTTACTCTTTATATGCATCATTTTTTCATCTTAAACTGAGAGGGTTTTTCTCTCTTTGCTTTGCCTGGATGGAGACAATGTTTTAGCTGGTAAATGGGCTGGAACAATCTCTGTCTCTATGAGTGGTCTGAGACACTTTTCCTATCCAGGTTCTCTGTTGCCTCTTTCATAAAATACTTTTCCTTTATAGGTTTCAAATCTACATGAGAAACTTGCAAGAGTCTCCTCCCAGTCCAGCATCGATGAATCCTCCAAGCAGAAGAGCCCTTCCCTTCCTAAACAAGGGCACTTTGATGCAGAACTGTCTGTCTCCCCCAAAAGGAACAGTCTTTCAAGGACACACAAAGAGAAAAGCACTTTCCATTTGCTTAGCACAACAAACCAGACTAACAAGGCAGCTGAGGAACAGACTCAGATGCCTACTCGCCTCTTCAGTTTAGCCAAACCAAAGGAGAAGAAGGAAAAGAAGAAAAAGGGCAGAGGACATCGCTCCCAACAGTCTGGTGAGTGTCAGGGGAGGTCACAGGTGTGTTTTCAGGTTGGTGAGCTGGCTGTTTTCCTTCAACCAGCGAACTTGTGGAAACATAAAATCTAGCTTTAAATGTGGATGGTAGCATAGGGATGGAGAAGATCGTCTGTGACAAGTGGAGTTCCCAGCTTGGAGTGATGATCTGTGGGCTTTTCTGTCTGTTCCACAGTCCCTGGGGTTGTCAGAGGGACACACTCTCCTCATTGCTTCTCCCCTTCCCCATCCCATCCTGAACAACTTCCATGGGCTGGATTCTCTGTTTTATTTTTCAGCGTGCTCTGCATCAAGGAGGAAAATGTCCTACTCTGGTGTCTGTGCTTTCAGGAGCTGCTGCTGGGGTGCTCCTGGCTGTTGCAGCTCCTGAGGCATTGATGTCTTCTTTAGCTCTGTGGCAGTTTGGAAGTGATAGCCACAACCCTTCTGGTGGCCTCTCCCTTCCCCTCAAGTTGGTCTGTCTTACCTCTTGATCTGAAAAAAAAAACAACGTGCAGTTTTTTCTTTGGTAGTTTTGCATCCCCTTAGGACTCAGATCTGCACCTCAAACCTCTGACCCACATGAAATTTGATCGCATGCCCTCAGTTGACCAGTTTTATCCATGTTAACTCACTGATGCTTTCCAACTTGTGCACAGGGAAGCTCACCCATTACGAGGTGTGATTTCATGATTGCTCAGGGAACTGAACATCTCTTAAGGGGTCCAGTGGACTTGGCAGACAGCGGGGTTTCTGTGCACATGGAGTCCCGCTCTGCCTGCTCTATGCCTGTGTTCCCATAGTCATTCCCACCTGTTGTTTTTTGTGCCGCAGATTCTCACTCGTCAGAAGCACCTCCAGAGGGTGAGGAGATCTTCTGCTGAGCACAGACTGCTCCTGTGGCCACTCGTGGCATTGGCACCGTGGACATCTCCCTACCTGTTACGCAGCATGTGGCTGGTGCCTGCACTGGACAAGCATCTGGAGGTTTTAAATAAAACATGTTATGAAGTCTGTTAAGTGGTGGATAAGGGCCTTTCTCCTGTGGTTTTGTGTGAATTCTCACCACAGAGGCTGAACTGCACAGCAAATAGTGCTATCTCTCTGTGCAAACCTTGGGTTAAATGAATCGGGATAGACATTTTCGGTCTCTTCTTACTGCTAACATAGCCTTAAGGGGTCTGTGCCTTCAAATTCCCCTTTTCTGGGGAACATAACCAAAACCAAGCATTTAGCAAAAGATTAGGACTCTGCAAATGGTGCGTACACACTGGCATATATAGATATACTGTATATATACATATATGTATCTATGTATCCACTGGGATGTGCTTACAGCCAAGGTTGGCCCATGGGGATAGATGAAACCTGATGACTTTCAGGGAGTGTGTAGATATTAAATATCTTGCCCTTACTGCTCCGATTGTAATGCCAGTGACCCGCATGCCCCTTTGGTGTTCATGGTTTCAGAAGGGTACCTTACATCGGGAAGCAGTAAAAAACAACAACTCAGAGGAGAAAAAAAAAAAAACCACAACATTTAAAGTCATTCTGAAAGATTTCCATGGGGCAGAGGATTCAAATGTCAAATTGTTTCCAGAGCCAAGTAGAACATCTTTGTGTATATTTAAAATGGTGCAGAAAAGAGAAATTTGGTAGGCTGGTAGGGCAATCCCAGGGAGCCAGAACAGACCATGTTCAAGTGGGAACAACTCTAAGCAACATTTTTACACACGATCACTTTGAGCTCCAGCTCATTCCTTCCTGAAGCAAAGATTATCTTTTTTGCTGGAAGAGTTCTCCTGTTGCATTTGACATCCCCATACAAGCCTAATGACTTCCTGGGGGGATGGCTAAAAATCTGCTTTTAGGGACCTTTGTTCTATTATTTGTATTTTTCTTAGCCCGCTTTTTGTGTTAACATTGGGCTTCTGTTTCCCTGGATTTTGTCAGCTTCCCTTGCTCCTTTCTAAGGCAGAATGAGACAACAGCAGTCTCAGAGCACTTCAGTGAGACATTATGAGTCAGGGGCCTGTGTGCTACGAGCAGAGCCAACTCCAGAGATGGCTCCCATCCCTATGGCTGTACAATACCATGCACTTAGTAACCATTTCTGGGGAGAAAAATGTTCTCATGGACAAAACCACTGTGAGACAATCCAGAGGTCCAGCATGGCAGGTCACTGTGGGCTCTAGGGTGAAAGTGTCTGTGTGTCCCTGTTGCGTCAGCAGAAGGGGAAGGTCCGAGGGCAGCTCTCCCTGTGCCAACTGAGGTGTTTGTACAGCTGTTGAATGCAGGGATGTGTTCAGCAGGGGAGGAGAAATGCAGAGAGCCACACTGTTCTCCAAAATTATTATTCTTCCAAACCTTCTCAGGAGAACTAACCCAAATGGATTTGTAAATGGTTACAAGATGCCACCAGCTTCAAAACAGCTCAAGAGTTTGCTCAGAGTTTGAAGCTGTCAAGTGTATTTCCTTTCCTGACTTTTTTTTTCTGTAAAATAACAAACCATTTCTCTTCTTGCACTGTTGTTTGATTTCAGTTTGCTCTCTGGCTTCTCACGAGCTGTTTTCAGAGTTAGTGCTGATGAGTATCAGCAGCATTGATGGTGAGATGAATGCTTAGGCTGGGCTGTCTTGGTCAGTGCAGGAACCCTCAAGCACCTGCTTGCTTTTGAAGCTCTCTACACTATTAAGACTCAAAAAAAAAAGAAAAAAAAATAGGAAGAAAGGAAAAAAGTTTGAAATTAATTGTATTTTGATTTTTTTTTAATATTGTTTGGTGCTTGTTCTTAATTGCAAGCAGGGCTTGCAAAAATATTTATCTTTCTGTTTATTTGAAAGAGTTCTTTTTTTTAAAAGAAGTTTACTTGGTTTTATTTTTTTATTTCTTTTTGCTTTTGTTTGGGGGATGGTTTGGGTTTTTTCTCTTTCTTCCCCCCCCCCTTTTTTTTTTGTTTTATTTTGTTTTGGTTTTGTTTTGTTTTCTTACCAAAAGATTGGTAAACCAAATATTCTTCTCTCCCTGGTTCCTACAAAACCAGGGTTTGGGCAGTGCTGCTTTGCAGCTCATGCCATGCCCAGAGTTACACAATTTCAACTGAGAGCTTTCTTTAAGGCAGAGCACCTTTGGGCCAAAAGAAGTTTGGAAAAAGACACAGTGACTTCAGACAAGGCTCCTCCTATCAGTTAGTTGCCTTGTTTAAATATTTTGGTTAGGTTTTCAAATAGCTTTTGGAGGCAAAATAAAAAGCAAAGCATGCAGTGCCTTGCAGTGATCTGAGGGTCTGGTCACTTCTCCAGATGGAAGGAGCTCCTCTCCTGAACCCAAGGGAAGCTGAAGGAAGAATGTGCTGGTGGTGTGGTGTTACCTTTTTCATAATAAAACCACCAATTTTAGAAAATAACTCCTGCCCTATTATTTATACATCTACAAACATGAATGTGCCAAGCTGAAATTTTGGGAAACCAAAGCAGTGCGTGGCTCATTTACTGTTGTGTGAACAGAGATCAGGGCCCTGGTATGCCTGAGAGTTCCCCTCAGTCTGGAACAGCCTTTGCCACTATGAGCTTTTCATTTTATCCCACTGTCTTTTCCCCAGTCCCAACACATCTTGGATTCACAATACAGGAATGTCCCATGGCTCTGAAAAAGGCATCAAAAGGCAGATGTGTGACCTGGGGCAGCAGAGCTGAGCCTCTGCCTGGCTTCGCCATCTCTCCTGACCTGTGCAAATCAAAAAGAGCATTCAGTGCCCTAAGTGAAAATAGTGTTTGCTGAGTGATCTCCAGAGGTCCCTGTGGTTCCTTGACAGAAGCCACAGGTGTGAGTCAGAAATACACTGACCAAAAATCATGTATATCAAAGCTGTTTGTGTCTTAAACTCCGGTGGACAGACCTTTGTCCCTGGAGGATGTCTGTTACTGTATGATTCACTTTTTTGGAGCGAAGCCTTTCCTCCCACACTGCTTCCTTCTTCTTTCACCTTTAGGAAGGTAAGGGCTTGTTTTTATCTCTTTAGCCTTTTATTTTTCCCCTCTCAGGTTTTCTTTGGAAAGGCTTGGCATAAGTTCCCAGAGTCAGATTCCTACTCTGATCCCTGCAGGTTGCCTTGGGTTGTCTGCTGGAGTATGGTCCCAGCTTTACAGCACCAAAGCCTTTCCTCTTCCTGGCCTTAAAATTGCATTTGCTCCAGTTCCACACCTGGCATCCATCCTGAAGTTGTTGAAAGCTTGTTATTTCTTCAGCCCAGCCTGGTGCTGCGTCTGGTTCCCAGAGCCAGTCCCTTGATCCCATTTGGAACACCCAAACCATCTTATTTTGCATGGGGTTCCTGGAACACAGAGCAGGTTCAGAAATGTCTGTGCAAAGCCCACGTTGTTGGAGGGAAAAGAGGACCCTGTTTGTGCTGGTGTTTCATGGAGGGCAGAAGTCAGATTTGCTTTTCTTAGGGTTTTCTTGGCCCAGTCTTTGCCACTGCCAAACAGGAGGGATTTCAGTGTCCAGAGAAAGTGGGATTGTGGGCTCAGATGAAGTACAGAAGTGGTCGGTATTAGCAGAGGGTGTCAGAATACCCCAGTGATAGATGGTAGCTGTAGCAAAGGGTGTGAGACTTGTTGAAGTTGTGTGAGGTTGGCCTTAGCTTCTTTTAAATGAAGTTATCATCTCAACATGTAACTTGACATCGGTTTGATGCCATAAAGCACTTTAAATGGAACTGGTCTTGTCTCTTTTTGTTTTGGTTACCTGGAGACAATCAGTTTTGCCATTGCTCCTCCCTCTGCATCTCCAGCAAAATCTGAGCTGCAAGTATTCCTGGTTTGATTTGGCTTTGCCCTGAGAGGGGAGAAGGGCCAAGCTTCTTGTATCATTTTTAGACCGGAGCGGGTACGAATCTGACTACAGTCCCACTGTAGATGGGTTGAGTGGCAGGACAAGAGAAATGGCTTCTGTTGGCTCAGGTATATCCCTTGGGAAAGCCCATGCCAGCTTCACCATCACCTTCCTCACAGCAGGCAGGGAAGCAGTCCTGCCAGCAGTTTGCCCTCTGTCTCCTTTTCCTTGGAGAAACTGAGCAAAGGAGATGTGAGGGGGATACATCCAAATAAGTGAAGTGAGGCCCTTTCCATGCACCAAGTTATTTACTGTCTAGGCTGCTGGGATACCTCCCAGGTGCCATCTCCGGGGCAGGAGCTCTCACCAGTGCTGAGGGTGGACTCTTCCCTCCTGAGGTGTGACCACTGCTGGGAAGCACAGTAATGCCATGAACTTGTGCAGATTTGTACTGCCTTTCAAAGGCAAGAGCACCCATAGAGTCCAATCATCTTTGCACCTTCCTTGAGTCACTTGATCTCACAGCTGTTGCTGAAACACTCAATTCCAGTCCTTCCAAATGCCACCACATCAGAAGCGGTTCTTCAGGTGCCAAATTCCAAGGAAACTGTCTAGGATATCTGTGGCACGGAGCAAGGGAGGACTGGGCAGGGGGCACAGGAGAGTATCTGCTAAAATCCCACAAAACATTCCTTGCTAACCAGAACTCTGGAAATTATTCTGCCTGCTGGCCAGGTTTGGGAATTTATCATAATTTAGGGCACCCTTACAAATAAAAATCACCCCTGCTGCGCATAACTCCTGTTTCTTTTGTCAGAAGGGACAGCAATCCATGACTCTTCATCTGGTGATGCAGCTAATTTTTAAAGATAGGCGAGCTGAACTGGCTAAATCTCTACACCTTGTGCTCCTCAGTGATGGGAAGTGTAATGCTAGCTCCCTTCCCACCTGCATTTCCAGGGCTCTCTGCCCTTTCCTTCCACATGCATTGCACTGACACTGATGCTTTGCCCAAATATATTCAGCTTCCATTGCTTGGGGGGAGGGGGAACAGGATAACATTCACTGCTTTGCATACAGCTATGAGCTTTGTATGTATTTAAGCTGTCTATAGGTATCCATCCTTTCCGTGCTCTAAAGTATTTTTACTATTTTCTTTATTGATATTAAACACTGACTCAAAAAAAAAATAAAAAAAATCTATGTCCAGTTCAGTTCGCCTATGGTTAAAGTTTAGCCTGGTGTTTATTTTGTACTAATATGGAATGCACTTGGAGGAATTCCCAGAACGTTGAGGTGTATTATAATAACCTGATATACCTCTGCTTTTGGTTTGTTTCTTATTAAAAAAAAAAAAGCTTTGCATTTTTATGTTGAACCCATTAAAAAAAAAAAAAAGCTGAGAAATAAGATTTTAAAGAAGAGGGTAAAACCTAATTTTGTTGTATGTTAATTTGTAATTATGTAAAAAGTGAGCAAGTTGTTGACTGTAAAATTCATTTTTTCTGTAAGTTACCGGAAACCATTAGGTTTTGTAACAAGCTTTTATTTATCTTCCTTTTTAGCTATCAGCATCAACATCTTGTGAAGTCATTCTTTCTCTAAATAAATTTGATTTCGAGTCTGAATTTTCTGCCTGATTTATTCCCACACCTTTGGTATTTCTGCTGTTGACTTTGTTGCACCAAATCTGAATGAACAGCCTTAACCTTAACCTGTGATCAAATGTTTGCATTGCCTTTATCATCTCCATTCTGGTCTGCACCCATCAGACTCTTTAACTTATTTTCCTCCTCTTACAAGATTTGCATTTTGCTAAAGGACAGATGGCCACGATGGTATTCAGCTCCTTGGGTTTCCCCCCGCCACATACAGGGCTTTTCATCCTTTTAGAAGAGGAAGTGTCACAGCTGTTCTCTCCACCACTTCTGCCCTGTGAGAGAAGATAAATGGGAGTCTGGGGGCTGCATGTGCTGGCTTATGGCACGGTTTCTGTAACCTCCTAACATAGCTCTGTGTCTCTGGCAAACCCTAGACACTGGGGTTTTAGCTCATTTGGCTGAAAACTAGAGATGCTACGTGTCCTCACAGGACAGGATCCACGATGCAGTGTGTGCTTTTTGTGTTTCCATGTCCCCTGCAAGAGGAGACCCAGCAGAAACACTGTAGCCAGTGTCCAGGTAGTTCCTTTCCCCCGGGGAGGTGATGTTAGGAAACAATTCTTTACTGTGAGGGTGGTGAGGCACTGGAACAGGTTTCCCAGAGCAGCCGTGGATGCCCCATCCCTGGCAGTGTCCAAGGCCAGGTTGGATGGGGCTCTGAGCAACCTGGGCTAGTGGAAGGTGTCCCTGCCCATGGCAGGGGAGTTGGAACTGGATGGTCTTTAAGGTCTCTTCCAACCCAAACCATTTTGTGATTTTGTGGTAAGGTACATGGTGCTCCCAGTGCCCGCAGGCATCAGTCCAGGCAGGAGAAGGTGCCAGAAGTACAGAGCCAAAGTAGTGTTTGCTCTGCAACATGATGAGAAGTCACAGAGGACCACGATGGCTGGAGTTTCCCTGCCATCATTTTCTTTTACCTGTAGAAGTGATCACAGATACCCCTGTACCACTAATCCTGCACAAGACTCCAGCTGCCTCTCCCCAGGCAGAAGGAGCAAGAGACCTGCACCCTTCGTTCTCTGTGTTGATTTTTAGTCAGAGGAATTGCTGAATTTCCATCAGTTTATTCACTTCTGTTCAGAGGTGGGATCAGGAAGGAGAGAGGATGCTTCAGGAAAATCTGATGTGGGACACTTCCCTGGAAGTGTTCAAGGCCAGGTTGGATGGTGCTTTGAACAACCTGGCCCAGTGGAAGGTGTCCCTGCCCATGGCAGGGGGTTGGAACAAGATGATCTTTAAGGTCCCTTCCAACCCAAAGCATTCTGTTATTCTCTGTATTGTTCAAAGCCTTCAGGCCATTGACATGAACACTGCTTGGGGTGCTGGGTTGTTCCCTAGCAGGCATTGCCAACCCACCTCCCTTGCCTATTAGCCAGCAGGGCACCGTGTGTTATTTCTCCCCTCCCCTCAGCTGTGTTACACGTGCTGTTCTGAAAACCTGAGTCCTGTCAATGTACCCAAACCTACACCCTGTCACGCAGCACTTGCTCTGAGACAAGCAGCTCCTGGGCGTGAGACAGGAGATGAAAGAGCTCGTTTATCTCGATGGCTGTTCAGTAGTCCTGGTTTTATTTGCATTCCCATGCGTCCCAGCTCACCTATTTACTGAAACTTATAAAAGCTTTTGCCAAGCCATGGTCTCCTCGATATGGCTTTTAAAGAGCACATTTTCCTGTGGCCCCTCTTGGCTCTGCAACTTGGATGCATGACAAAAGCACCTCTTGGGGCACCCCCAGCCTTTGTATCACTGCAGTAAAACAACAGCAGTGGCTGCTGCAGTTGCTGGGAGTGTGAGATGCTCCTGCAATACAACAGGCATTGGTCACGAGAGGAGGGAGAGCACATTTACTGATGACAAATCACATGGAGAAAATCAAATCCTTGCTGAATCAAGCTCCTGACAGGGAAAGGCCATGGTGCAGGGCAAATCAGACACTATGAGCTTCTCTGGTCCTGCCCAGCGCACACCAAACTCCACTATTTCCATTAGCCAAGGGGAAGCCTGGGCAGGCAATACAAATTGCCTTTGGCGGAGAAGGAAGCAAAGGGCCCTGCTGCTCTGGGCCATCTCCATGTGCCAATTTGACTATTCTAAACCAGCTTTCCATGATTTCATCTGCTGTCCATACTCTGAGCCATTACAGCACAGCTAAGATGATGAAATGGATATTCTCCCTAGATCATATCAGTTAATTATTTTCAATGATCCCCAAGCAGGAATGATGTGTTTCTGAGCACCCCAGACTTCTTGCCCAGCCTCAGCCTTTCCTTAGCACCCAGTGTTAGAACAAAAGATCTCTGCAGGTTTGTCTGGATGTGGTTGGATTTTCACTGGCACAATCACTTAAAAGGGATCATACAGAATCCTTAGACTGGGATGGGCCTCTAAAAGGAGCATTGACAGGCAGAGGAGAGGCTCCTTGGAAACATGGTTTACTGATACCTTTAACATTTGTGTTATCTGTGTTTTCCCTTCCCTGCCCTTGCTGGGTTCAGTTCTGGCATTGGGTTTAGGGGAAGAAACTGGAGGTCTGGAAGGACACAGGTGCAGCCTGCGCTGGGGCTTGCAGACAGGCCACTCATTCATGGAGGTTTTATTAAAAGGAAAGGCAAAACCCTAATTACTGTAGTGAGTGAGTGAGATGCCTTGTGATCAGATACAAGGTGAATGGTAAAGGAATGACCTACCTTTGCCATTAAAGGCACCTGGGATTTGTTAATTAGTTACTGGAATGTTAAACATAGCAAATGTGTTGATTTTTAGGAGGTTGGACCATGTTAAAATTAAGTGGAAAATAATATTTTACACTAGCAACTTATATAAGAGCCTGTACAAGTGAGCTCCCGCAGCCCTCACAGGGACAGACAGACACAGTGGGTGTCCTTTTTGTCCCACATAAAGCTGTCTTCACACCTTTTGAAACACCCCCAAACAGGGCTTTGCTCCAGAGCCTGCTCTCCTGCCTCTGTTCCAAGGAGGCCCAGGGGAGGATGGCACAGATTCAGGACTGGGTCCCCCCTGCCCTGCCCTGTCCTGCTCTCCCTGCATCCTGGGGCTCCTCTGTATGTCGATGTTCGTCGGGCAGCCCTTACTCTTGGCTGAAGGACATCCCGGCACCTCAACGGGATGGAGCTGAGGTTTGTTTCCTGCTTCCCAACATGGCAGGGCTGAACCCCAGGAGGGTCCCTGGAAGGAACTTGTGTCAGTCCCTTTGCTCTCTTTCCTTGATGGTCCATCCCTTGCACAGCCGCAGCTCAGCTGGCAATTCCCAGTCCCCCCTGACCTCTCGCCTCAGCCTGGCGTCTCTCCCTCTGGCACTCAGCGTCTCCAGATGCTCTTTCTTTCCCCTTTCCTTTCACCAAAGGGCTGTTTCTCACTGGCCACATCTTTCCAGTGAGCCTAATTAGACAGGAGCCTAATTAGAACTGAGCAGGAGCGTTGAGTCATTAGCAGAGCCCTGTGGGAAGCCCAGGAGCAGCCGTGAGCCCGGCGGGGCGGCAGCGTGGGCAGAGGGGGCCGGGAGGCGGCGGGTGCTTGGCTGGGTGCCGGGAAGTGGGAAGCAGCTCCTGTTTGTGTGTGCATGTGTGTAATTCCTCCAGACAGTGACCCAGAAATGGAGTGGTGGGTGTTCACCCGCCTCCCTGCACCTGCTGGAAAGCAAAGCGAGTCCCAGTGCTGCTGGGCTGGCCTCAGGGCAGGGGATGGCTGTCCATCCCACCCAACCAGGGAAGTTAAAAGCTAAAAGGGCTTTTCCTAGTGGGCCTTAAGCCTTTTTTGCCTTGTTTTGTTTCTACTCATCCCCTTTAATAACCAGCTATCCCCCACAACGGAACAGAGCCAGCATCCTGGGGACTGGCTGCCTGCTGGGGCTGTAGGGAGAAAGATCCCTGCTGGGGTGGAAAAGGAGAATGAGGGGAGCAGCAAAGGGCAGTTTGCAATGTTTGCTCTGGACAGACCCACAGGACTGGGGTTGTGATGCCAGAACTGAGAGACAGGTCTTTCTATCAGTCATTCAATCACATTCTGGCCAAAAGTGCCAGTAGTTTCTTCACAAGCACAAGCTGTGCCATCTTAGCCTGGTCCAGGACAATTCCCCCTGGAATTCAGCTGGGAAGGGAGGGCTTCCCAAGAAAGCCAGAACTGGAAATCTACAAATTACTTGATTCCTGAGCTCCGTCGTCCACAGAGATTGTCAGGAAAAATGAAAGGACACACTGGGTAGCCAGGATCAGTCCTCTGGAGCCCTTCCCCCACCTTCATTTGGTGGGGGGCACACAAACACAGAGGGGTCCTTGTCTACGATGCCTGAGAGACGTGGACATCAGTGGTGCAGCGTGTGCTGGGGAAGCGGGAAGTGAGATGTCCAGGCACTGACAGCATGAAAAGCCAGGCTTTTTCCACCTAATTGGATCTGTTATTCAGCTGAGAAACGCTGAATGGTTTGGGTGGGCTCTGAGCTCGCAATTTCAGTGAGGAAGTCGGGACGTGGTGGTAAAGTAGGTCACACTGCTGCAAACAGGGTGAGGGTTCTGCACAACGGCTGAGGATGTTAAATAAGGAGGTGGTGAAATGGAAAGAAAAGGGAGATTGTGAGGAAGGAAGAATAAATGAGCTCAGCCCCGGCTATTCACTCCCACTGGGAGTCCCTGCTGCTGGCTCCCACCATGGGCCCCCAGCACTGCTGCTTGTGCCTGGAGGGCACAGGGCTCCTGCTCTGCACT